ATTGGAAACTGAGAAAACTCAAATTTAACTCATCAAATTAATTCCAAGTTCTAGAAATTATGTGTCAGAACAGGCCATTTCTTTACCTCCAAGACATTAGAAGAATAAAAAGAAAAAAAGATCTACGTTTGTCAGCTGTAAAATTACTTAAAATTATGGAACTTTTACACAGTAATTGAGGGCAAATAAAGTATTTAAACATTAGAAGTCTTCCTAGTGCTGCCAGGCATAGTGGCTCATGCCTGTAATCTCAACACTTTGGGAGGCTAAGGCAGCAGATAATGAGGTCAGGCATTCAAGACCACCCTGACTAACATGGTGAAACCACATCTCTACTAAAAATACAAAAATTAGCCAGGTATGGTGGCATACACTTGTAATTGCAGCCACTTGGGAAGCTGAGGCAGGAGAATCACTTGACTCTGGGAGGTGGAAGTTGCAGTGAGCCAAGATCACGCCACTGCACTCCAGTCTGGGTGACAGAGTGAGACTCCATCTCAAACCGCCCCCCGACAAAAGTCTTCCTAGTGCTATAAACAGAAGATAGTCATGCAGAAATAATTCATAAAAATATTTCAGATTCATTTCACACAGGGACAATTATAGCCTTTTTGAAGGTCTCTTGTAATGTTTTAGCTACAAGCAGTATGTTCATTATTTCTCATAAACGAATCCTTACCTTTTAGATTATATACTACTTTTTGCAATCAGTTCTGACCTTTAGAGAAGTTGGAATGAGATATACAGTGTGAAATTGAATTAGTTTTTTTCTAAATCTTGATAATGGGAACTGCATACTTTCTCAAGAAGCACATATGCTACCATCATCTCAAAGGCTTAAGGATCGTTGGTAATTAGAATATCCTTTTGGGTGTACAAACTTTGCTTTGCTGAATTAAAGATGCTGTATTAAAAAGTTGAAAGCCAGGGGGAAAATACCAAACAAAACCAGAATGAACGCTAATTTATATTAAAGTAATTCAATTATATATTTTAGAACATAAACATTTCTCAGAGTTATGCATGTTTGTTTCAACCTGCAATGATTAACAAGCACTTTTAAGAACACTCTATAATATATGAAGTTCCAGTATTCCATAGGTCATCTGTAATTTAGAAATTATTCAGATTTCAAAAGTCAGTTTAGAGAGTTGGAAAATATAAAAATTTAACTACTATATTAAGAGAAAATATTTCAAAAAAGACCTACAGGGCACAGTTTTGATGCAGTGTAACAAGTAAATGAAACAAAACTCAGAAGACTAAACAGTTAAAATAGGGGATTACGAGAAGAGCAGATGATATATGTCCATAAATTAGTCTAAGAAAGATTCAGCCAAACTATATGTCTAATGCATAACATAATGCATGAAATAAATATCCCTTGTATATCTAAATTTCCTGTTAATTGATATTTTATAAACAAGTAGCAGAATTTTTCCAAGTCCAAGCTATAAATGTCAGAACTCACTGAAGGATTTGTGAGTTAACACGTTTTGTTGTTTTTTTATTGTTTTGGGTTTTTAAAAATCTTTTGTTATAAGCAGAAATCTTATGCATTTTTATACATGAAAGCTACATGACTTATATAGTAAACCAAATTCTAAAGATAAATTATTTCACTTAATCTTCAGCCTCCAAAAATATGCATCCTTATATCTACATATCTTTAGTCAAACAGATTCTTCTATTTAAATATTTTTACCAAAAAAAACCCCAAAATATTTAAATGGTTTAAAGAACAGTCTTCCAAAAATATTAAATTGTACAACAAATATTGAAAATGAGCATATTTTCAAGACAAATATGACTATAATTTATCCACCTGTATAATAAAAGAATTTCAGCTTTATTCACCCTTCCTCCCTAATTCATACAAGTAAGCCAAGGCAATAAATATACCAACCACTATTTAGAAGTCAATTTTGGAAATATTCCACATAGAATTCCAGTTTATGTCTCTGATGCGGAGGAAGTCATTCTTCCCTTACCCAAGTCACACACAAAAAAACAGTAACATATTAAAAGCTTAATTCCAGCAAGTGTGACAAAGGAATTTGTAATTTTCGTGTTTCTATTTAAACATGAAATGTTTCAAATTTCCAACTGGCTTGTAGTTCACAAGTTGATGCATGACCCTTACTTGCTACAACTACCAGAAAAACAGCTCTGATGAACTTTCTGAATACTGTAGTTTAAAAAACAAACAAACAAATCTAGCTGCAAACTATTAATATATATTTTAACATCACTCTTTAATCCATAATTTGAGAAAATTTTTTAAACTTAAAAATAATGAGTGATCAGAAAACAAATGTCAACTTTTAAGATAAATGTAGCTATTTCTTCAAAAACTGAAGGGGTTAAATAGGAATGGTTAATAGATATAAAAAACAGAATGAATACGACCTAGTATTTGATAACACAACAGGGTGACCATACTCAATATATTTAATTATACATTTTAAAATAAGAGTATAATTGATTGCTGTATCACAACGGGTAAATGCTTGAGGTGACGGATACGTCATTGACTCTAATGTGACTATTATGCATTGAATGCCTATTATCAAAATATCTCATATAACCCATAAACACCTACTATACACCCATAAAAATTAAAAACTAAAAATAAAACTGAACAAGCACCTTGGGAAAATGCAGTACCCTTAAAGACAGGATATGTCCGTAATTTCAAACAGGGATTTCAATATTGTTTTAGATGTTAGCTTTTTATTAAATTTCAGCCATTTGAAAGTTACAAACCTTAGACAAAGTCTTTATTTAGTTTTGTCTTTATTTTTGACTATTTTTCAAATGGATACTTATAATTCCATGAAAAGTTTGCAATATATTTAATGTCTAAATAAAGATAAAAGTTTCTCATACTCAGGCTAAGTTCCGTATGTGGAGAATGGTGATTTGCATACTTTATTCCTAAAATTCTTTTCACTGTCACACAGCAAAATATCAACACTTAATAAATTCGAATTATAAATATAACCTTACTGAATGCTACAAATTGCATGCAATAGCTAAGTCTCTTCAAGTACACAGTAACAGTTCTACAGCCCATGGCATGGAAGATGAGGGTAAAGATTAGTACACTAATAAACTGAGGTCTTTAAATTAAAACTATTTTTCAGTGGTGATGCTGCATTTAGTTACAAAAACACTTGGTTACACAAGTGTACCTTAGAATTCTGGGAAAAGGTAACCAAAAGCTTTTGATATAGTAGTCCCTCTTGAGAAGAAACTAGATGCACCTGGTATCTAAGAAGAGTATACGAAATGACACAGGTGTAAGGCTAGACACTGCTGGTAGCTATCATGCTGGAGGCAAATACTATACAGTCTACATCTGCAACCTAATTTTGCTTCAGCATCCCCAGAGACTTCGAAAATATTTCTTTGGGTAGGTTGCAAAACAGTGCTTCCTCTTTTATTCTCATCACCCCCATTACGATACAAAGCAACACAGACAAGAAAATCAAACGGGCAACTGCAAGGGCTTAAACACACACACACAAAGCATCTTCTTTCTAACTCCCAAATCGGTTATTTATTCCACCTGTTTGTAAATCCAGAATTCCAAAATAACACAAACTGCCTACTGAAAGAAAAGAGGGAGGAAAGAAAAGAAAAAGAGGAAAAAGAAAGAAAAAGAAAGGCAAATTAATGCTTTGGAGTCATTACTCTTCCACCTAGGCTTGGGGGGGTGGGGGATGGTACAAAAACAATGGATATTGAGGGGCTAGGGGGAAAAAATCGTCTTGCCCCAAAGCCTCTTGTGTTAAGAGCCTGGGGGAGTCGGGGGAGAGAGACTAGTTTTCCTCTCTGCCGAAGAGCGGGGCTATCACGGGAGAGGTTGCCATCGGGCATGTTCTACGACGCGGTCTCGAAGGGCTACAACTCGCTTCGCCAAGCAACACACCCAGAGCCGAGCCAGCACACTTCACTCCGGGGTTTTCAGGGAGAGGAGAACCGGGGCGCGCGGTGGGCTCCAGGGAGGGAGCGCGGAGAGACCCCACCCTGCACGACCGCCGCTGCGCCCGGGCCCTCGCCAACGCTTCACACGACCCGGGCACCCCGCGGGCTGGGCCCGGACCGCCGGGGGCCGAGAAGGGCGGGACCGTCCGCCGGGCGCCCCCGGCCCGCGCCCTCGCGCCGGCTCGCCCTCGCCCAGGCGCTGTCCCGGCCGCCCGCCGCCACCGCAGGCCCGGCCCCGGCCGCTGTCAGAGCCGGCCGCCTCCCGCTCCGCGCTGGGCTGCGGGCTTCCACGCGAGCCGGCTTCAAGGGCCCCGCACTCACGGAGACAGCACCCAGGAAAGCGGCGGCCGCGGCGGCGCCTCCCAGGGCCCCGGCCCCGCGGGCCTCGCCCCGGCGCCGCCGGCTCGCGCCTGTCAGGGCGCGCGGGGCCTCCCCCTACCGACAACCAGCCCGACTGCCCGACGGACAGGAAAGCAGGCAGGAAGAACCGACCGACACACACCCTCCGCCTCATCGGCCCCGGGTTACCGTCAGGAGCCCCGACTCCGCCATCCTCCTCGCTCACCCTCCTTCCTCCTCTTCCTCCTCCTCCTCCTCCTAAGAAGCAACGCTGCCCAACCGCCGCCCCCCGCCCTCCCGCCCCTCCCCCACTCGCCCCGCCCCGCCCCGCCCCGCCCGTCCCTCCACTACTCTCGCTCCGGCCGCCACGCCCCACCCCTCCGGCGTGGGCCCGTCACTCGCTAGGCAAGAAAAATGGGCGGAGCCGGGGCGAGTGAAGCTGCCCAATTAGAGAGGGGTACTGGCGCCAGCTTCCCTGTTTCCGCCCTTTTCCTTTACTCAGCTCCTCTACGCCGTCTCCCGCCCACTGGGCGCCGCTGGCTAGCCGGGCTACAGAGTAAGCCTCCGGCAGGGTAGAGTGACGACTCCCCGACTGGAAGTTATCGTTGAAGCTAAGGTGGCCATAACTGATAATGGCAACAGGAGTTTCTGGCTTCCTGTTTCCCGGGTGACGTTTTTTTTTTTTTTTTTTTCCTTCGACCCTTTCACCGTTACCCGGGGCAACAGCTGAGCCGTCTGGGAAGGGCTGCATCTGTAAGTAAGCCCAAAGAGGTGCCGTGGGTGACCAGAAATCCCATATTAGACAAGTTAATTTATACTCTGGACTACAGGTCTGGTTTCCTGGCCCTTATTTTACAGAGACGTCTGGTCACTTACCTAGATGGACCACCGTTTAGGGCTCCGAAAAGCCCTCTCCTGCCCGGAAGTTGTATTTGGCACTTCCGAATAGGGTCATGGCGGAAGGGTGTGAATAGCCTCGCCGCCCGTGCCCCAGGGAATGCCCATTCCTGACCTCAGTTGCAAAGTGAGGTGAGTCCCTCGGCCCCCACCAGTGGGGCGGGCCCGGGCCGGACAGTCCCTGTGGGACGGAGCGCTGCAATGGCGAGCGGGACTCAGAGCCGCTTCCGTTGGAAGGTGGTTTTCTTTCCGGGCTGGCCTGGCGGCGGTCCGCCCCGCCTCCGCCCCACCGAGGCTCTCTGCGGGGTGAGGCCGCTTTACCGGCCGCCCTAGCCTGGCCTGGAGCCAGCCGGGCCGGGAGGGCCCCAGCGGGGAAGGGGCGCGGACCTCGGGGCGGAGCCCCTAACTCCGGCGAAATGGAGCTCCTGACCACGCCCCCGCAAGTTCCTATTAAGTACTTTCACTCCCAGACCTTTGGAGGGAAGAGAATTCGGGAACCTGAGGAAATCGTTTTCCACTGTCAGCTGTGAAAGAAAAAGATGAGCCCCTATCACCAGGGCAAGACCTCAGTCTTTTTCCCCTGCCACTTACTTCCTGCTCTGATTTTCCCCGCTTTCCGCGTCTCTCTTTTGTAAGCTTTGACTGTGGTTCTGGGTGGAGGATATACTATCCTAATCCTGCAGGTCTACAGTTTATTAAACAACCTGGTGAATATTTGAAACTACTGTATTGCTTGTGTGTGGCCCTTTACAAAGTTAATCATACGTTATTTTGTAGTTTCTTCTGTATGCTTGAGTCAAGAACTCTGTCATCTTGGTAATACCGTGTTGGATGCTTAAAGCTGCAGCAAAAAGACCAGAACTTTCAGGTAAATGAAAATTGTTAATATCCAGCCAGTCAACAATAAGGATGCGAACCTACCTTCTCTACTTGATTTCTACTTCCTTAGTACTCAGACTAGCCAGGATGAACTCTCTTGTTTCTTTGCAGTTATTTACTGAAATCTATTGTAGCACTCTCCTTTTGTGATTCTCTATCTGATTCTGTTATCTGTGGGGATGTGTTTCCAGATTCTCCCCAGCAGGAAGTAATTTTCTCTGAATTTATCTAGCATTTTTTATACATCTTTTAGGACAATCAGTATTTTATGTAATAGCCGCTTGTGTTTTTAGCTTCACTGCCATGTCTACACCTAGATGGAATGGTTTGTATCAGATTCGTCTTCTTGTCATTTTCACCCTGCACATGATAAGATTTTGGTAAATACTTTCTGAAAGTTTGAATATATTGGGTGTCTCTTGGATGCCCAGGACACTTCCAGCTGAGTTTCAGAGACCTTCAATTTATCAGAAATTCAGCAGAGCCCCTGCTACTCAACCTTTTCTTGCATTTCCCCCATGAAGTCTTTTCTGACAGGATTTTTCCCCAGTGTTTTATAATTCAAAGTGTTGATATATTTAAAAGCTGAAAGAATTAAAGAATTCATGTATCCTTCTTCTATATGCAGCAGTTAACATTTTGCCATATATTTTTCATTCCTCCTCACTTTTTCATTGTCTTTGATCTATTTGGAAAAAAGTTGCGGACACCTGTTGTTAGGCAGACACCATTAAGACTTCCAGCATGAATTTCCTAAGAATTGCGAAGTTGTCCAGCAAAACACAATATCATTATTACAGCTGTTTTGTAATGTTTAAAATCTAGTCCAAGTGCAAATTTTCCTAACTTGCCCAGGAATATATTTTATACTTTCTCCTTCCCAGTCCTGCAAAAAATAAAAATCAAGATCCAGTCAAAATTTATATATTGTGTGTGGGTATTGTAATTCTTTAGCTTTAATTTAGTAGAGGGCCCCCATCATCCCCCTACCCACCCCTGTGACATTGGCATTTTGAAGAGTTCAAGCCATTAGTCTTTTTGGAAATGGGCCCCCTTTTTCTTCTTGTAAACGAGAAGTTAGTCTAGAGGCTTAAGTGGAACATTTTTTTTTTTTGAGAGGATACATCACAGTATTCATTCTTTTTCAGTCATGACTAAGCCTTCTCAAAGGCAACTATATGCACCTTTGCTGTGAGTTGCTGGTTAAATCCATCACCCTTCTCAGCATACTTAACCCGCCTCTGGTGTCCCACAAAGTAGTGAGTAGCATTTAATCCTGTGTGTGTAGAATATGTGTTAGTGCCTTGGGTCGGCAACACAGACTAACTACCGTTAAAAAAGTGTCGCTGCTACTTTGCCTATTCCTGGAGCTGATGCAATGTATTTCTGCAGTAAAGTGTACTGATGTCAGCATAGTTTCATGAGTTTCAACTCCTGGCACCCTGCAGACGTTGTTGAAAGATGTGTGGGCCCTGTAATTCAAATACAGATGAATCTTGATGTTATCAAAGCAAATACCAAGGCAACTGTTGGCCATCTGGTTACATTCCAATTTAGGCAATGTTATTTTTCGTCCTGAAATTCTCTTGCAAGTCTTAATTGGTCCTGGTGTTTTCGTGATAGCTTTTTGGTAGCATTAAGTAGAGTCTATTAAAAATTGCAAAATCAAGATTATACTTAACACTTAGTACATGAGATACATTCCCTGCCCAGTGGATAGAGAAGTGTTTGTGGAATTTACTTTATAATCACAAGAGGAAAACTCTCAAGACTGCCAACCTCATATACTCCTCCTAGCCTAGACTTATATTTGATCATGAAAGATAAGTGAAAGGAAAAAACTGCACATTCAGGGGGCAGAAGAAAATGCTCTGGGAGGGCAATCTCTTAGGTTGGTATAGAACGTTTTTAGCCATCGTATTGAAAATATGTAATGCATCCCGTTAGTTGCTTCCTTTGTGTACAAGAGAATTTGCTTGTGTGAGAATACTCTAGATTTAAGTAAAGCAAAATAATATACCAATTAAGATCACAGGTTTTAGCATCAGACCTGAGTTTCAGGAATAAGACTATTCAATACCTGGGTGATCTTGCACAGCCCATTCAGTCTATTATCTATTAAATGGGGTCTTGGCCAGACATGGTGACTCACACCTATAATCCTAGCACTTTGAGAGGCCAAGGCAGGTGCATCACTTGAAGTCTGGAGTTTGAGACCAGCCTGGCCAACCTGGCGAAACTCTGTCTGTACCAAAAATGCAAAAATTAGCCTGGTGTGGTGGTGTACATCTGTAGTCCCAGCTACTCGGAAGTCTGAGGCACCAGAATCGCTTGAGTCTGGGAGGCAGAGGTTGCAGTGAGCCAAGATCGCAGCACTGCACTCCAGCCTGGGCAACAGAGCACGACCTTGTCTCAAAAAAGAAAATAAATGATTTTTTTTTTAATGGAATCTTAAAACTGCTGAGGATTGTTGTACAGAATTAATTCAAATATGTATACAGTGCCTTACCTTGGTTTATAGCGGATGGAATGCAGTCAGTGTATGGTGGTTAGTAACTTCTAAAGCGGTCCAAATATTGACATCGAATATTTAGCAAGTAAAAGAATGAATCTTAAGACAGTAGTTCTCTAAGTTTAACATAGGGAATTTAATTAAAAGTTAGGGTCCAGCTGCCATGACTCATGCCTGTAATCCTAACACTTGGGGAGGCTGAGGTGGATGGATCACTTGAGCCCAGGAGTTTGAGACCAGCCTGGGCAATATGGCGAAACCCTGTTTCAAAAAATATAAAATATTAGCCGAGCAGGGTAGCATGTGCCTATAGTCCCAGCTACTTGGGAGGCTGAGGCAGGAGTATTACTTGAGCCCAGAAGGTCAAGGCTGTGGTGAGCAATGATCACATGACTGCACTCTAGCCTGAGCAACAGAGCAAGACCCTGTCTCAAAAAAAAAATAATAAGAAGAAGAAAAAAAAGTATTTTGATTTAACAATTCTAATTTCTGGAGAACTCCAGAAAAATCTATATTTTTAATAATTGTATGGGGAGTTTTGATGCAGATGATCTGGGGACTGGGCTTTGAGAGGCACTGTGTAAAGTATCAAGCAACTTTTCGCTTTCCTTGCATATTGTCGAAATAGCTAAACTTAAGTATTTCAGGAGCTCAGCAAATACTTTTTTTAAAAGGTTAATAGCCAGCATTTTTAGGACCACTGCCTAGTACTGAATTTTGAAATAAGAAAGCTTATTAGAAAAAGATATTTTGCATGAGTAGGATGTATCATTATTAACTTAATAGTAGTGTCTGCTACTGGATTATCTCCAAGCCAGTGGCATCACCCAGGTTCACCCAAGAACAATTCCCATTCTTAGGCCTAGGCACATTTCAGAAGCTAGACACCACACATTTTATTCACATGAGCTTGAATTAATTAGCTAAATTGAACACATTGCAACATTTTTCTACCAGCAGATGCCAGATAGCAAAGCAGAATAGAGTCTACTGTAGTCTCCAATATATGACATATGATGTTACTTGGCATCCAGATAAACATTATCAATCCAAATTAAGCATTCTGCTAGCACGTGGGCAGTTGCTTGAGTAGGAGTGAGCATTACTACTTTATGTTTGCTGAAAAACGCATTCTTTCTGGGCTCCCCTTTACACCTTTTTCTCATATGTACGTTCCGAAATGTTTTCGAAAATTCATCTATCAGTTAACCACAAGTCTTGGATAAGACAAAAGATAAAAATTTTGTTATTCTCCCATTCTCACAGCCGACACTAGGCAGGTTGAATTTAGTATAAAGGAGCTAACTTAATATTCACAAAAGAAATACTCTTTACCTACAGTATCCTTTACAGTCCATGGTCATGATTGCTCCTGACTACTACTTCAGTTCCCAGAGATTGTATTTTTGCATCTCAGTGCCCATTAATGATAAAATTAGACAGCTTGACCTATGTTCACAGTGGCTCTATGTTTTACTGTAGTTGCAAAGTCAAATGCCTACAATGATTGGGCAAGTAAGGTAAGAGGAAACAATAAGCAATAGTAAGGACTGGAGAATTCCAGAGCATATGCCTACCTAAGTTAAGCATCACTTCCCAGCCCTAGCCAAATTTTGCCGTGTTAAAATGTGGGCTTGAGGTTGCCAGATTTGTCAAGTAGAGCTAAAATTTGGATTTTGTGTGAAATGTCCTGATTTTCAACATTGGCTAAATACTTTTTAAATATCTGTAAACCAACAAATATTTAAGTGGATAGGATCAAGGGTTACCAGTTTATGACATGTTCTTAACATGAAACATGAGTGGTATTTTTGTTGAAAATCTCAAAATGCTTCAGAAGTGTTTTCTTTTTGCCCTATGTCAAGTGCATTGGTCAGGGTTCAGCAACAAGTCACCTGTCATCTCCATTAGACATTCAACATAGATTCTTATATACAACGAGCTTCTGTTCCCTTGGTTACAATTTTAAAGGTTTTACCCTTTGCTGCCCTTGTAAAAGTTTGTTCACATTTTCTCAACTTGGAGTTCTCTTATGAAATAGGTTTGCTCTATTATCATACTTTTTAAAACATTTAAGAACACAATTTGGCAGCACATACTGCTTCAAAAGTAAGTGAAACAGATTTTTAAAGAAAAGCACCTTTAAATAGATCATGCTGTGTTATAGGTACCATGATACTTAAGAAGATTCAAAGATTTTTAGAGACAGAAGATACCTTATGGTAATCTAGAACAAGTCTTTATTATAGCAATATGAAAATTAGTCCTGGAATAATAAATGTCATACTGTATTTCTAAGGACTTTTACATCTACTTATCACTTACAACCCAGTACAGATAATAAACATATTTTGTATGAGAAAACCAAGCTTCTGATTGGCTAAGAAAGGTATTCAAGGTCACACAACTAGTTAGTGGTGTGGCCAGAGTAGAACCATGTACCCCATTTAAAGTATAAATGTGGGCCAGGCGCGGTGATTCACGCCTATAATACCAGCTCTTTGGGAGGCTGAGGCAGGCAGATAACAAGGTCAGGAGTTTGAGACCAGCCTGACCAACATGGTGAAACCCTATCTCTACTAAAAATACAAAAAGTAACCAAGCGTGGTGATGCTTGCCTGTAATCCTAGCTACTCGGAAGGCTGAGGCAGGAGAATCGCTTAAACCTGCTAGGTGGAAGTTGCAGTGAGCCAAGATCACACAATTGCCCTCCATCCTGGGTGACAGAGCGAGACTCCGTCTCAAAAAAATAAAGCATAAATGTGAAATGGAGTACAACTAGTTAGCACCAGAGAGCAACCCTGTACTTCTTTTAAAATATAAAGGTGAAATAGATTGATTAGAAAAAAACGGAAGACTCTAGTGTAAGCTTCTGTTTTATTTAAGTCACACATTGGATTTTTACTGTCATCGTTTATTTAAAACACTTGGAATCCTAGGATATGCTCAAGCATTCTATTTCAAACTTTAAAAACTGGGTCTTGTACAATTAATATAAGCTGATAAGTTTAGATGCATTAATAGAGGGAAAAAGGAATTACAATGAAGATACAGTGACAGGTTAGGAGTAGTAGGCACATGTTATGGAAGATAAACATATAGACCCATGGAATGGCTCCTTGGGGCTCCCAGCAAAGATCAAATATTAGATTAAGAAGACTTAGTGTGGGGAGGACAGTTTTAAAAACATCTGAATCCCATCCTTAACATTTTTAGAAACGAAGACTTGACATTGGCATCCTCAGTATGTTTTCATGTTGATGTTTCTGATCCATATGTATATGTTATGAGTAATCAAAAATGGAGTTTGAATTTTAGTAATTTAGTCTCCTTCTCTGTCTGTCCCTTGTGTGACCACAGCTTACATTTTCCAGATGGCTAGATGAAAATAGGGACAGTCTAAAGCTAATTGCTCTGTTCAGCTGTTTAACCCAAGATCAATATTTTCTCATATGAGTCATAATATGTCATGACGAAGAGAATCTAAAAATGCAAAATTTGTAAGCTTTTAAAGTGTTGCATTTTAAGCTTGAGATTTGAAAGTTTCCATGATAGTGTTTAAATAATATTTAATGCTATAAACAAAATCTAGTCAAAAAGCAATTTTTCTTCCTAAGAGATTTATTTCAGAATGGCATCAGACATGACAACTGGAATGCTAAATCCTCAAATTAAGAAGAAAGGAAAAAAAAAAAGAAAAACTACCTGTTGGTTAGAGCCATATATTGGTCCGATTGTGACACAGTTCCCAAACCAAAGAGGAAGAAATGTGCTTTAGTCAATATGCTGCACTTGTTTTTTCATCGACCTCATTCCTGAGATTTATTGTTTGCCTCGTATTTTATTTTCACCCTCCTTTGCAAAGGTTGTTAGTGGCTTCAAAATTTCCCATTTCAGTAGAAATTGAAGATTATATGTTACTTCAGACTTTGTTGACTTCTGCACACTGTAGTCTACTTTTAACTCTCCAGTGTCTTCTTAAATGTTGTTGATATTCCTTCAGTGAAGCACCATACTAAACCTACTTGGGACCTCCCTGTCAATCCTACAGATGCAGCATAGAGAAAACTGAAAAGAGACCTTGCTTTTGAGTAAGGCAGACCCGAGTTCAAAATCTGTTTCTTCACTTACCAACTATATGATGTTGGGCAAGGTAACTTTTCTTAAACCTTGTTTTAGTCTGTTAAATTTCATCATATATATATATGTGTACCCAATTTATAATTACTCATGTACACATCCACCTCCCAATGCATCTCTCAATATTGGTAGTTCAATTCTAAAATCACCATTTACGGTGCTAAATCTTATTTTCAAAATTACTACAGAAAATTCCTTAAAATGTCTACATAGTTGAAATATATGCGTTACTTCATACTAAACACTATGTTGCTTTTGTTACTCTTAAGCAAACTAAAATTTAAGAGCCACAAAGCTAACTAAAGGAAAGAAGCTAAGGTAAATGTTTTGACATTTAAGCTATTCTGCCTTTAATATAACTCTTAAAGAGTATGGGTGTTGAGAGAAGAGGTGAAGAATTCTAAAATATTTTTGCTTGCTATAGGTTTTTCATCATGCTTTTTTAGTAATAAGCCTCTATAACTAATACATGTTAATAAACTTATTTTTTTCTGAAAATCTAATTTTATGCCAATATTATATTGGTACACTATGGTAGGAATTGCTGACATTCATTGAGCTCTTATGCCAGGGATTGGTCTCGTGGCTTTATATGAATTATATCTTTAATACGCCAAGCCATCCCAAGTTGATGCCATTGTAAGCTTTATCTTGCAGTTGAGACTGAGGCTTAGAAAATTAATTTGTCTAAGTGACTAATGTGACTTCAGCTGCTTCTTTCAACCACACTATACTCTTACTTCTTTTTACCTCCACTCCACCACCCACCATCTTGCCATATCTTTCTTAAGTGATTATATCCACCTTTGTAGCTTATCCTGCTGTACAGTTGACTCTGGGCCTCCAGTCCATTTTACCTTCCTCTTGGACTTGCCCACTGTGAATCTAAACCTAACTTATGGTCTTTACTCTTCCTCCTCACCCTTCTCCTCCTGTGTGTGTTTCCAGTATGCATTAATACGTGTATATCCACAATCAATGTTAGCTCACCTCAGTGGTCTGTGATCATTTCCTTATCACCCACAGGCAGTTGGGGGTGGGAAGGTGGAGGATGTTTGAATCTCAACTTCTTGTACCCTAAATCACCTCTTATATCTTCTCCTCTCAGTGTCTATTATCCCTGCTTTAGTTCATACTTTTCATCATCTTACCTCAACAATTACAGCTTCCTACTAATCGCCTTTTCTCTAGTGTCTCTTCTCATTTTTCCTTTATTTTGTCTAGAATATGTGTTTGCAAAACAGGAATCATGTCACATAACTGCTTAGAACCATCCAGTTAGCTCCCTCTTGACTATAGGATATGAAGTCTAAACTCAGTGTTGCAGACTGAGTATGAACTGGTCTCTACCTGGTCAGCCCCATCGCAGTACCTGGTGCATACTGTGCATACACTGCCCTCTAGCCATGTCCTCCAGCAGAACACTTTTTTAAATGTGTCTTCATTTGAACGTATTGTTCACTTTGTCTAGAACATCTGCCCCTTGCTATACATCTTCTCTGCCTAGTAAACCCCCATTCAACTTTCTGGGACTAGCTCCAATGTCATGTTTAATAATTCTTCTTCAGAGACCACCTATCCTGGGCCAAGTTTTTCATGGTTTTCATTTCTTAAGGCACAAGAGGCATGCTTCATTAAAGTACATTGTATTCCATTATAATTATCCATTTATGTATGTCTCTTTCTCTACCTCACCTCCACCAATGAAAGGAATGGTTCTTATCCACTCTGTCTCCCTCATTTAGCCATGGCTGGTACATTATAGACATTTAGTGTGTTTGTTGAAAGAAAAAAAATCTGTTCATATAGTCAGGCACTTTATGATTCCAAATTCTTTTTACGTTACATTCGTTAGTTTTCTACTCTGAAAGAGCAGTGCCTTTGTTGTCACCTAAAACAACATTCTAGTGTTTATCACTCTCGTCTTTACTGTCCAGTGTTTATTTCCAAATAGAATACAAGGTACATCATTAATTTTGGCCTATCAACTCATAATTTCTGGCCACTTTAGAGATTTATACTTTCTTGAAGAAAGAACTAGGAGCTAGACTCCTTTTCCAAATACTATTGTAACAGGTATGCAGGGATGTTCTTCGTGAAAGACAGAATTCTGTCTTTCACTAAGACTTTGGCGCCGGGCGCGGTGGCTCAAGCCTGTAATCCCAGCACTTTGGGAGGCCGAGGCGGGTGGATCACGAGGTCGAGAGATCGAGACCATCCTGGTCAACATAGTGAAACCCCGTCTCTACTAAAAGTGCAAAAAATTAGCTGGACATGGTGGCACGTGCCTGTAATCCCAGCTACTCAGGAGGCTGAGGCAGGAGAATTGCCTGAGCCCAGGAGGCGGGGGTTGCGGTGAGCCGAGATCGCGCCATTGCACTCCAGCCTGGGTAACAAGGGCGAAACTCCGTCTCAAAAAAAAAAAAAAAAAAAAAAGACTTTGACTTGTAGGTCTCCTGCAAGTGAACAACATTTAATTCGACAGATGACATAAAAGCCAACCTTTTCATGACAAAATTATATAAATCTTAGTATTTACAGTTTGAAGGGTCCTGTTGCTGATTGCTTTTGTGTCTATGAAGTCACTTGCCTAATTAATGGAAAATCTATTGAGGGTATCATTGTTTTGCTAGCCTGAGTTCACCACCACCTCATCATGGCTTTTACTTAAATCACTGCTTCATATACTTCCCTTTGCCTGTTGGACATTTATTCTGAAAGTTTCAGAAGCATATCTTAGTCATTAGATTACAAAATTGAACTTCTGTCTTTCCTTAGCTTTATGATTTCACAGTGCAGCTAGTTGCCAAATTGAAGCACCCATTTTTCACCTGCATCTAAACTATTTGAATAGCCCTGTGATTGTCCTCCTGAATACATTTAGTTCTGTTCAGATCATTCTCATTCTTAAAATATTTCAGTGGTTCCTTATTTCCTTCAAAATCAATTCGATTGCAGTTTGGTTTGGATTGTTTCCAGACAGGTTGCTCGCGACTTTTTTTTTTTGTATATATAGCCTTCCTGGCCTCCCCCATAATGCACATGCCTCTGCACAAACTGTTGTTACCTGCACCTAAAGTTCCTCCCCCATAATCTGTAACTGACACAATTGCTCCCTATTTGTGTTCCCATGGCATTTTTACAAATAATTCTAAGTATAGAACTTACATTGCATTATGTTTCTTTGCTTATGTGCCAATTTCTTCTCCCTCCACCCCCGTCCTTCAAGATCCTCAAGCCTAGAGACTATGCCTTAATAAGTCTGACGCTGAATTAATTTTGATGTAATTTGACGTGCCATTTGGATACTTCAATTTTGTTCTTAACCTTTTCTTAGTCATGGATATCCATGTAATAGAAAGTAGAAATAAAGCCCATAAATAACCATTAATTAACATTTTGGCACAAAATATTGTACTTGTGTCACTAGAAGCCCCCACATCAGAATATATTTGTGATAGGAGAAAAAATGACAGTCTTTTTTTGTCAAGTCTACAACTCTTTTGCAAGATTTTATCTTTTTGTACTTAAATAATTCCTTTATAAAAAGACATCTTTGTCCAGGATGGTCTAAGCTTTTCACTTAATAGAGAAGAAAGTCATTGTTCACTTGATTTTAATAAATGTTACATTCAGAAGAAATACAGCTTTTACTGATTTCAAAATTATTATTTGTAAATACTGGTATTTTCCTTAAATTTGCTTAATATATAGCATCTTACTACATATGCCATATTGAAAGTGACATTGTTGTAGGAATACAAAGTGTATCTAGGCATTACTGGTCCAATAATTGTACTTTTAAAGAATTCCAGAATCACACAACTTTAGGAAACAATATATACTCAGTTTTCCTGTTTGAAATTTATCACATACTTTAGCATATTAAAGTTTCTAAGCAGGCTTGCTGTTAAAAAGTTAGTTTAACTTTTTTCCTCCCCAAGGCTTCTCAAATTTAATAACTATGGCATCTTCCCAGAAAGTCCATTAACATCTCAAAGAACAACATGGTTATTGTATTGATCATCAGTCTTTTTACCAGCATTTGCATATCCTTGATGCCTGAAGACAGTCAGAGGGGTATATAAGCAAGCGAGATTAAAAACAGTCAATTTTCAGATCCTAAACTTTTATATGTAGTGTCTGCTAATGCATTCCCTGAGAAAATGGATCTGTGGATAAACCTTCATGCTTCATCTCATTTCCTGTGTCCCCTTTCACCATTTTCTTTATTTCTTGAGACAGGCTCTCTCACTCTGTCACCTAAGCTGAAGTGCAGTGGCATGATCATATCTCACTGCAACCTCAAACTTGGGCTCAAGCAGGGCCCTCACCTCAGCCTCCTGTAGCTGAGACTAACAGGCAAACGCCAACATGCCCGGCTATTTTTTTTTTATTTTTTGTAGAGATGAGGTCTTTCTTAATTTTTTTGTAGAGATGAACTCCTGAGCTCGTGCAGTCATCCCACTTTGGCCTCCCAAAGTACTGGAATTCAGATGCAAGCCACCGCACCAGGCCCACAATTATTTTTCTAAGAATGTATGAAGGAAGACATCTCTCTAACCCAGGTAGAATTTTACTATGACAGAATGCTTCAGGGAGTAAACATCTCTTAGGAGATAAACATAGAGACATGGAAACATTGGTAACTCTAGTAAGAAAGACTAAGGGCTTTACTAATTATTAAGTAAGTAGTGCTTTTGCAAGTCAAGAGACTGTTCGCAGCTCTCAATAATACTGAAGGAATACCTAATTGAGTAGTCTGCTAGTCATTTAAAATTATTTTTTGATGATAGGCACTACATGATTGTTAGCATATAAGTTAAGTTCAAAGATTGAAAAAAAATGTCCCATTCTTATCTCAGTGTTTACATTTATAAAAGTGAAAAATAGGGCCAGGCACAGTGACTCACACCTGTAACCCCAGCTTTGGGAGGCCGAGGTGGGCGGATCACTTGAAGTCAGAAGTTTGAGACCAGCTTGGCCAACATGGTGAAACCCCATCTCTACTGAAAATACAAAAATTAGCCAGGCATGGTGGCACACACCTGTAATCCCAGCTACTCAGGAGTCTGAGGCATGAGAATCACTTGAACCCAAGAGGTGGAAGTTGCAGTGAGCCGAGATCGTGTAACGATGCTCCAGCCTGGGCAACAGAACAAGACTCCATCTCAAAAAACAAAAGAAAAAGAACAGAATTGTAGCAGTAAGTAAATTTTCAGCCATGTATAAACATGAACTAATTGAGAAAATAAAGCTATGTCCTTACTGACAGATCCATGGCCAATCACTTTATTTTTATGTTCAACAATTACTTTATCAATGTATAATTCCTTTTGACCAATTTCATCCCAATGGTAATAACTGAATCCAAAATATTTTAAAGTTTAAATTTATAAACATTTTTATAGCAAAGAAGTATGCTAGGATGATCATTAAAATATCAGGGATGAAAATAATGTTACATTAGAATAAAATGGGTTGGAAATAGAGATCCAGGAAGAAAAAAAGATGATATAAAATTTCTAACTTAAAAATGAGCTTTTTATTAATGGACGATGGTAGCTATCAAATTGCTATTATGTATAGATTATATTGGATATGTTTTTTAAAGACTGAGATGTTATTTTTAAATATGCCAGAAATTACATCCTTTATAATTTAAATTTATGATTAAAAAATTTAAACATCAATTTAGAAATGTATGAAGTGATACCTAGTTTTCCCAAATCTCTTTAGGAGTATGCAAGTAAAAAATTTGAGGACCACTGACAATATATTCTTAAAGGTCAGAAGGACACTTCAGTGATCTAGTCTGGTCTCACACCCATTATGTAATTTGGTTATCCAGCTAAATCACAGCAGGGGTTTTTAACTTGCCAAATGTGTATGATTGATTTGGCGGCAATTATCTTTCCTAGACATGTCTTTTAACTCTCATTCCTAAAGCATAGTAAAATATTTCATGACAAAGATTTGGTTCTCCTTCAAGTTTTTCTGCATTAATTTTAGCTCAAATAGCTACAACAGGTTTGCGTACCTTGTTATGATTTTGAAATGCACTATCCATCAAAACTATTATCTCTGGGAGAAATTACAAACTTTAGAAACTACGTAAGAAAAAGCAGCAGATTATTTTCCATTTATCTAGAACAAGGGCTTCAAAAAAATGAATTGACACTGTGAACATTTTAAATTTGGTTCTATTAATGTAAGAATAATTTCATTTTACTTCTGTAATTTAATGTTTTCTCTTAAAGTATACCTTGGTAAGCTGCATCATTTTTAAATTTGGCATAATATTTCACTGTGTGAATGTTCCATGATTTAACATTTGACCTGTTGGTGAACGTTTAGCTTCATCTAGTGCTGAACATTTTGCCATTCAATGCAATGCTTTAATGAATATTCTTTTATTTTTATACATTTGTGCTGTTGTTTCTTCAGAGCCAATTACTGAGTCAAAGAAAATGTGCATATTTAGTTTTAGTAGATACAGTACTGCAAAATATCCCTCTAAAAAAGCTTAACAACTGTGCTAATTTCCCTATACCATCCCTACCTGTGGACACTATCAGCCTTTTGACTTTTTGCAGTTTCAAAAGACATTACATGTGCACTCACACACACAAAAGCAGTCTTTGCTTAAATGTCACCTTCTTAATGAGGTCATCATGATTTTCCTCTTAAAATTGAAATACCACCCCCTACCCCCAGGATTCCTTAATCCCCTTTACGCTGTTTTCTGTAGTTCTTACTACCTTCTGGCATGCTGTTGTTTCTCTCTTCTTACTCCAGACTGTAGGCTCCAAAAAGGCAAAGGTTTGGGGTTTTGTCCTGTTTATTATGAACAATGCCAGGCACATGGTAAAAAAACTTGCATATTTACTGAATTAAATGGCCATGGCAGTTGTAGAATACACATGAATTTCAACCACAGCTGTTACATTTCTCCTTTGGTCCATCTGTTCCTGGTTTAAATACATCTCACTTGACAAGAAAGTTCTCTTAAAAGCAGCGACAACTCCTTAGAGCGCATTACTCTAAGCAAATCACCCATATCTGGCTATTAGCAGGCCATGTGGGAGAAGGAAATACTGTCGTGCACTGTATAGCAACATGCAGTCAACAGTATGCAATAGTGATTCTGTAAGATTATGATAAAAGCTGAAAAATTCCTATTGCCTAGTGATGTCATAGTCGTAATGCTCATGTTGTGGCAGAACACTTTACTTTTTCTGTGTTAAGATACACAAATACCATTGTGTTACAATCAATCGCCTGCTGTCTTCAGTAAGGTAACATGGACATGTTTATAGCTTAGGCCCAGGAGACTCTATGTAGCCTAGGTTTATATTAGGTTATACCATTTAGGTTTGTGTAAGTACACTCTTAGGATGTTTGCACCATGACAGAACCACCTAATGATGCATTTCTCAGAACATATCCCATCATTAAGAAACACATGACTGAACTCTTCCTACTCTGGACTCCCAGGGCAGTTGATTATCAAGAAAGTGTAGCTCAGCCAGTGCTGGCCATCCAACCACCACTTTGCTTATTTTAGCCCTTCCCTTCCTGTTTCTTTCCTGCCAATGCCTAAGGGGGCCTAGAAACAAGAACCAACCCTATTAAAACAGAGATTCTACCCAGGCGAATGACTGGCACTGATCTCCCCCCACTAGGCGCAACCCACTCCTACCAGCCCTTTGGCTCCACACCCTTTCCAGTAACAATGGCAGCTTAGTCAAACAGAACTGAGGTTTGGTAGAGCACCAAGTTTCATTGTTTTTGTCAGGCCAGATTTTGGATGTGAAAGAGGTATCAGACTAAGAGAAAACAAAGAATAGTGACTGAATTCAGAGTAGCTGGAGTAACTTACGCTAAGAGTTGTTTATCTACCACTTTAGCATTTTGGTGATACATATAAAAATCCTTAGCTGCTATGTATTCCCTGCACATTTATCAACATCTATAATGTCCTCTCTTTCAGTGGCATATCATGTCAGATTTGCTTCAAATAAGGAAATTTGATCATAGTATTTTCACTGTGACGTCTTTAATGGAGAGGCTAAGTGGTGTTTTTGATAGCTCAACTCAAGGCTAATCAGGTCCGTAGTATTGTTAGCCTTCATCCTAACCCGGAAAAAAGAAAAGCAGTGATCACTAGGTACCACTGGCAGACTTAAAAAGGAAAGAATATGGTAGGAGAAGCTGTGCAGTCTAAGGAAGTTGCACATTGTATTTACTTCATATTCTATTTAAGTGATGAGTTGCTTTATTCCTGTTCCATTACTTATTTCATCTTGCTAGAACAGTATAGGGGTGACGCTTGATGATAAAGTTCTGGAAAGCAGATAGAGGTTTTCAGGAACTTGGACATTCCAGAATAAAAATATGAGCAAGAGAGATGAAGAGACTTGGATACAAAGGAGGAAGCTTTTATTAGAAATGTCAAAGTAGTGGAGTAGGAATAACAAAGACCAGAAGCAGCTTCACTTGATTGTAATTAATTTGCAGTGGTTGTTAAAGGTAGGCACCAAGCCAGCATCACCACTTTATAAATAATAAATCTGTGGGGGTGATGTTGTGAAAGATGCATGTTAAGGTTGCATCAGCAAGGTGAATCACTGAGTGGGTGGGACCGTCTAGAAAAGCATCTGTGTTTGGAAAGGGATCATTCTACAGTTTAGTCCAGAACACCTTGAGCGTACAGCATAGCTGAATCTTGGCTGTAATACTTGGAGAAAATGTCACTGGCAAAAACGGTATGTTTGCTGGGATGTTCATAACAAATACTCCTGGTTAAGTATTTGCTGGTCCTTTATCATATAGAATCTCAGTATTAGAGGAAAATAACAAGCTGAAAGCATACCATATTTCCATTCTTCAGTAGCCAATTTGACCTATTGCATTACTTCGTTACAAATTGCAGCTGCGTAGCCAGTAACTGATCCATAGGATGCTTTTTGTTAGGCACAAAGTAGAATCCAGCTGTTAGCTGTTTGTTGAAAGAAGTAGGCATCTTAGGAAATGTTTGCCCACCACTTCCTCCTTTTCCTAACTACCTGCCTCATCCTGCCTCTCAACTGGTGGTCATGTTTTTTGTCACCCACGATTCAGGAGAAATGCAATCAATGAACCACGCTGGCTACACACACATACCTTTTCCTCAGATGATATTAATCATCTTTGCCTTAAAAACCAAAGCTCTACCAAGTTTTCATTATGAGAGAAAAAAAATTAGAACACCCAGTCTTGTAGTTAACACAAGTGATTAATGAAAGTTGACAAGATCTAAATGCTTATACAAACTATCCCAAAGTCACAGGAAATTAATGGCAATATTATGCAAGGTTAGGGTGGATCACTTTCTATAAGAATTTGGATTTTACTTCTTAAACTACAATGGAAATGCCTCAGGCAATCTGCTTTGGGAGTTTATTCTTGAATAACACTGATTTCTCATTCAAGGGGAAAACACTGTATCCAACAACTCCGACATGGCAGAAGTGAAGCCAGTGTTCCGGGAAGTTCTTCCAAAACAAGGTAGTACATCACAAATATTGAGATCATTATTATAGAGACTAACCAAGTGATAGGCAGTGTTACATAGCAGGCTTAATAACTAAACATCTGCAGCTGTTGTGTTCCATATTGTCTCATTTACTGTTTACTCTTACCGTATGCTTTTCTCATCAGTAGACTATAAAGGAGGGATCCTCACTTTTTTCTTTACAGTAAAAGGATAACAAATGAAGCATTGTTTCGTATACCTAAAATTGCTAATTACAATATGAATTTGTTTTTGTTTTTGTTTTTGTTTTTGAGACGGAGTTTCGCTCTTGTTACCCAGGCAGGAGTGCAATTGCGCGATCTCGGCTCACCGAAACCTCCGCCTCCTAGATTCAGGCAATTCTCCTGCCTCAACCTCCTGAGTAGCTGGGATTACAGACACATGCCACCATGCCCAGCTAATTTTTTTGTATTTTTAGTAGAGACGGGGTTTCACCATGTTGACCAGGATGGTCTCGATCTCTTGACCTCGTGATCCACCCGCCTTGGCCTCCCGAAGTGCTGGGATTACATGCTTGAGCCACCGCGCCCGGCATGAATTTGTTTTTAAGAGACATGTCCTCACTCGATCACCTAGGCTTGGATACAGTTGGCATCATAGCTCACTGCAGCCTTGAACTGCTGGGTTCATGCCCTGGCCTACCGATTTGCTAGCACAGACACGTGCTACCATGCCTGGCTAGTTTGTTTTTGTAGAGACTGGATCTCTCAATGTGTTGCCAAGGCTGCTCTCGAACCCCTAGGCTCAAACAATCCAACCCCTTTGAGATCCCAAAGTGCTGGGATTACAGGTATGAGCGACCATGCCCGGCTCAATATGAAATTTCAATGAAGGATATAATGGAATTTACTGTAATGTTAAATAAGGTCTGAAAGTGGAGAAAGAGAAACCATAAGCAACAGAAAAGCTGAAGGTTTAAACAGGCATTTGAATATTTATGTTAAATGCCATACTTTGCTATAGTTTTTGCACTAGGTATATATATTCTGCCCAATCTTACTTTAAAATTAAAACTTCTGACACAAAAAGTTTTGTCATATGATGGCGTAAATTCTTGGGTAGAAAGCTCAAAACTGTTTTCCTCAGAAAGACCCTAGTAGTAAAAAACGCTGCTTCTAGGGTGACTATGATCTTTCTGGTCCCACAGCAAAACTCAGTTTAGGTACAAGAGTTTTTCAGTGACAACAGATTAATTTTTTAGACCTTCATTCTAGCTGCAAATCCAACTACCAAACCCCTGGGTTATCTTTCTTAATTATTTCTTATTAAACTTAGGGCCATTGTTTGTGGAAGATATAACCACAATGGTGCTGTGTAAACCCAAACTTTTACCTTTAAAATCTCTGACTCTGGAAAAACTAGAGAAAATGCATCAAGCAGCACAGGATACAATTCGCCAACAAGAAATGGCAGAAAAGGATCAACGGCAAATAACCCACTGAACGGTAACCGAAGCACTTTAGGGAACAACCTCTCTTACCTACTATTTAACAGTAACTAAAAAATGATATGCTTCTGTGTGCTGAAAGTAGCATTTGTTAATATTATCAATAAAATTGGTAATACTCTATATAAATACAAAACTACCTAAGATTGATGAAATTTGAATTGTGAATATAATCACTCTGGTTTGTATTGAACATAAAACAGTTACTGTGAACCAAATTTTCTGGGGTTTTTACTCATGTTTTTAGAATTGCTTATTATTTGTTCACCATTCCTGTTGCTGTCTCTTATAGATAACATTCTTGGGCACAAGGGACTAATGGATCTTTACATTTATTAAAATCTGAATTGGAATATAATACTCCAGTCTTGCATAAAGTGTTTGTTGGGCTTTTACATTATTTAATTAAACAAATAAATTTTTTAAAAAATTTTGACCAATTTTATGTGACATGTCACGCTTAATACTATCATGTGTGACCAGATCCTACCAGTAATGAAAAAACTGTATTAAATCTCATTTTGAAGAAACTCTCCCCTATTCTGTAGTCAGCTAAGCTTTTAATTACATTAATGTTAAGGACTTGAGAATTACATGACTGTGTTTATCACCCAGGTGTCAATTAAAAACCTAAAAATGGTAACTATATTTATATAAGCCCAGGTAGTATGGGCTTCAAAAAGCCCATGTGGTAAATATGAACATTAAACTTGGTTTTAATTCTAACAGACTGTATCTAAACTTGCAATCGGTATACTCCTAATAGTACCCACATAAATTCTGAATATAATTCTTTGTCGGTTTGCTGCATTCAATATTTGGCAGTTTAGAATAGACCTTGAGGGCCTGCTGAGTTATTAGGCTATGTAAAAGTGGTTCAAAGTATGATCATTCTTTTGTTATTAATTGGTAGGTCATATTTTCTCAGACATTGGGTAAATGTCAAGCTTTCGGTCTTTGGAGAATAACTTTTTGTAACACTAGCCATTATTTGATAACAATTTAAGAATAGAATGATAGAAGGTATTACATATTTCTTAAACTTAATTAAGCTGTAGATCAGGTATCAATGGAGGAAAGTGATACCTGCATTTTTTTCCCCTAGTGTAATCTTAATTTACTATTGTACTTTTCATTTAAAAGTTTTGTAGGGAAAAAAGTTTTCAAGGAACACTAAGATTAAATTCACTAGGTTCAAATATGCTTCCTTATGAGATTTAAAATTTGCTGTGTGAAATTAAAGTTTAAAAGACCTAAAATAAATGTACTCCCAATAAAGTATCAACACTGCTTCACATGTTTTATTTTGGTGTACATTCTTCTAGAACCAGGTTCATTTTTCCAGTTTTGTAGAAAAATAGATGTTCCAGCCACCATTTACTTAACTGTCTAGTCTTTTAAGACCGGTCAGTATGTTCCCTGGAAAGATGAATAAGTCTCATGACTAATTTTTTTTTAATTCTTTAAGACAAAGAAATAACTTTCTTTTTTTTTACTTCCAAAGCACAGTATTTCAACAGCAGCAGCCAACATGGGGTTTTAGCAGCTTATCTTTACCCCCTAAATAAAGCTTTGTATAAACCAGTGATTTTACTACAAAAAACACCGTCCTTGAAAGAAAGGAGTGGCAGTCAGACATCAATGCAAAACTTGGAATGATTAGGTCATAAACATGGCACTTACAAAAGGTAGCTTATTAGAATATTCCACTTAAGAAGAGGTCACTTTTCTGTCCCTCCTCTGCCCCCTCAAAAAAAAAAAAAAAAAGAAAAAAGAAAAAACATTTCCTTTAAAAATTCCCCTTAAATGTAGGTTTATAAAAATGTCAGAAATGCCTTGTACCCAAAACAAGTGCCAAAAAAAAAAAAAAACCTTGTGCTAACAACTCTTACAATTCAGATATATATTTTTATAATATCTAAGACTGTAAGAGTTCTTATATTCAGTAGCTCTCTGGTTTAAGGCGACCTCCATCTCCTTCGCTTACAAAACGCTTTCTGCCCCTGTAATGAAGAAAAAAAAACAAAAACATGAAAACAGATACAATTTCTAACTATAGTCAATTAAAAAAATTTTAAACTTGGTATTTTTTGGTTACATACTAGCTTTTAAAGGGTTTTCCATTAAAAAAAAAAGTCAGCATACCTCTAATTCCTTTGGAAAGGATTCCTTACTATATAAGCATAAAACATCAATGTCAAATCTGAGTGGTTTTTTTAGTACACTATCCAAATAATCACATTTAAAAAGTTGATACCAAACTAAAGCAAACATTTTATTTAGAAGTTTAATATTTATTTCTACGTTATTATTATCTGTAAACTTAACAGTGAGCCAAATAGAAACACTAACATAATTCAGAATTATGCAAACTGGAGCTGTGGAATCTATCAAAATATCCATGTTTGACAATTTAAAAAAATGTTGTATCAGCTGTAGAAAAACCGTAACTTGAATGTGGGAAAAACAAATCAGAATTAAAGCCTATGCCCCATTTAGAAGCCCTGCTCTATAATATATAAGCCCACACTCTAGCTACTTGTAGTGGCAACATCCCAGAAGGAACAGCTGGACAGTGGCCTAAAACAGTAGGTGGGAAATAGAACTTGGGCAACATTAGCTCTTACTCTCTGACTCCAGGCCAACATGCACAAGCATGCAAAACCACAAACAAATGTGCACCTCACCCAAATAGGCTAAAAGATAAAGGACAAAAGTCAAAGCAGTATGGTATGTATAAACAAAGTTTAGTTATCTCCTCATGTGACCCTTGAGAATAAAGCCACACAGAAACAATCAGACTTTGAAACAGAGGCTGAAAAACTTTCAAAAAGCCAATGCCAGGGTACTGGCCACCCACTTTCCAGTGAGAACATCCCCACACACACTTTCCACTGAGAACATCCCCCACACACACACTTTCCACTGAGAACATCCCCCCCACACACACTTTCCACTGAGAACATCCCCCCCACACACACTTTCCACTGAGAACATCCCCCCCACACACACTTTCCACTGAGAACATCCCCCCCACACTTTCCACTGAGAACATCCCCCCCACACACACTTTCCACTGAGAACATCCCCCCCACACACACTTTCCACTGAGAACATCCCCCCCACACTTTCCACTGAGAACATCCCCCACACACACACTTTCCACTGAGAACATCCCCCCCACACACACTTTCCACTGAGAACATCCCCCCCACACTTTCCACTGAGAACATCCCCCGCACACACACTTTCCACTGAGAACATCCCCCCCCACACACACTTTCCACTGAGAACATCCCCCCCACACTTTCCACTGAGAACATCCCCCCCACACACACTTTCCACTGAGAACATCCCCACACACACCCACACACACACTTTCCACTGATAACATCCCCACATACACCCACACACACTTTCCACTGAGAACATCCCCCAACACACCCACACTTTCCAGTGAGAACATCCCCACACACACACTTTCCAGTGAGAATATCCCCACACACCCCCACACGCTTTACAGTGAGAACATCCCCACACACACACCTTCCAGTGAAACTATCTCCCCCCCACACTTTCCAGTGAGAACATCCACACACTGACACACTTTCCACTGAGACCATCCCCACACACACTTTCCACTGAGAACATCCCCCAACACACCCACACTTTCCAGTGAGAACATCCACCCCCAAACCCACACTTTACACTGAGAACATCCCCATACACACCCACACATACACTTTCCGGTGAGACCATCCCCACACACACTTTCCAGTGAACATCCCCCCACACACCCACACACTTTCCAGTGAAAACATCCACCCCCACACTCACACTTTCCACTGAGAACATCCCCATACACACCCACACACTTTCCAGTGAGAACATCCCCATACACCCACACACACTTCCCAGTGAGTACACACACACACACCCCTTTCCAGTGAGAACATCCCCACACACTTTCCAGTGAGAACATCCCCTCCACACACACTTTCCACTGAAAACATCCCCACACAACTTTCCACTGAAAACATCCCCACACACCCACACTCTTTCCACTGAGAACATCTCCTCCACACACACTTTCCACTGAAAACATCCCCACACACACACACAACTTTCCACTGAAAACATCCCCACACAACTTTCCACTGAAAACATCCCCACACACCCACACACTCTTTCCACTGAGAACATCTCCTCCACACACTTTCCACTGAAAACATCCACACACACACACACAACTTTCCACTGAAAACATCCCCACACACCCACACACTCTTTCCACTGAGAACATCCACACACACTTTCCAGTGAGAACATCCACACACTTTCCAACGAGAATATCCACACACAATTTGCAGTAAGAACATCCACAAACAGCCACACACTTTCCAGTGAGTCCACACACACACTTTTCAGTGAGAACATCCCCCCTACACTTAGCAGTGGGAACATCCACACACATCCCCACACACACTTCTCAGTGAGAAAAACATCCACACACCCACCCAATTTCCAGTGAGAACATCACACACACACACATTTTCCAGTGAGAACACACACACACACAATTTCCAGGGAGAACATCCGCACACATACCCACACTTTCCAGTGACAACATCCACACACACACTCACTTTCCAGTGAGAACATCCACACGCCCACACATACTTTCCAGTGAGTCCACACACACCCACACACTTTCCACTGAGAACATCCACACACCCCCACGCACACTTTCCAGTGAGAACATTCACACGCACACACACTTTCCAGTGAGAACATACACCCACACACTTTCCAGTGAGAACACACACACCCAATTTCCAGTGAGAATATCCCCCCACACACTTTCCAGTGTGTACACACACACACACACTTGCCACTGAGAACATCCACACACACCACTACACACACTTTCCAATGAGAACATCCCCACACCCACACACTTTCCAGTGAGAACATGCCCACACACCCACACACACACTTTCCAGTGAGAACATACACACACACCCAATTTCCAGTGAGAATATCCTCACACACACACACTTTCCAGTGAAAACATCCACACACACCCCCACACATTTTCCAGTGAGAACATTCACACCCACACTTTCCAGTGAGAACATCCCCACACACATACTTTCCAGTGAGTACACACACACACACAAACTTTCCAGTGAGAACATACACACACCCAATTTCCAGTGAGAATATCCCCCCCCACTTTCCAGTGAACATACACACACACACACTTTCCAGTGCGAACATCCACACATCCACACACACCCCTACACACACTTTCCAGTGAGAACATCCCCACACACACCCCACACACACTTTCCAGTGAGAACATCCCCACACACACTTTCCAGTGAGAACATACACACACACTCAATTCCAGTTAGAATATCCCCACACACCCACACACACACTTTCCACTGAGAACATCCCCATACACACCCATACACACTTTCCAGTGACATCCCCGCACACACCCACACACACTTTCCAGTGATAACATCCACAAACACACACTTTCCAGTGAAAACATCCACACACACCCACACACACTTCCCAGTGAGAACATCCCTACACACGCTTTCCAGTGAGACATACACACACACCCAATTTCCAGTGAGAATATCTCCACCCACACACTTTCCAGTGTACACACACACACATACACACTTTCCAGTGAGTACACACACACACACACACACACACACACTTTCCAGTGAGAACATCCCCATGCTCCCACACATACTTTCCAGTGAGAACATCCAATTAGCCTCAATTCTCCAACCTGTAAAGAAGTTAAGGAAGCCACATACAGTACAGGTAAGAGCCTAGATCTTTAAAGCCAGAAAAGTCCTGGATTCATACTTGGCTTTTACCAAATACTAGCCATGTGACCTTAGAAAAAGTACATTATACCTTCCTAAGCCTCAATTTTCTCATCTTATTACTGATAATACCTACTCTAAAATAACACTGAAACTACTTGTAACAAAGGAACTGCTCCACAAAATTAGTTTCCTTCAAATGAACTGGGACTTCAAGAGGCAGTCCTGTACAGATTTACAAGGGGGCTAAAACAAGCTTCACCCTTGTTTTTCCATGAACTCAAAACAAACATGAGTCATGCTCTTCAGTGACTTAAGGGAAGATATTTTTCTTAGAGAGCTGGAATGATAAACTATCTTAGCCCTTAACCTTCCCAAAGACCTCATACACTATTTAATATTGAGAAAGTAGTATTTAAATAAAGTACCTTGAAGGACAAAGATCTCTGAGTTGTTTGGAAATTATTCCAGCCTGAAAACATTCTTCTACAAACCGCTCCAGCACAGAGTATGAATGTGGGACATCCAGATTAATGTCTGGAATTTCATTGTAAATTCTCTCATAACCCTACAACAATGAAATTACACAAAGAATTGTTAGCCCATATAATACATGTCATAAAACACAACCCATCACTATGTCATCAATCTACATTTAAGGCCAAATGTTTATATGGTTAAACTGAAGTCAGATTTGAATACCGAGAAGCACAGAAAGTAGATTTGTTACACTGTTTTTTTGTGGTTTTTTTTGAGACGGAGTTTCGCTCTTGTTACCCAGGCTGGAGTGCAATGGCGCGATCTCGGCTCACCGCAACCTCCGCCTCCTGGGTTCAGGCAATTCTCCTGCCTCAGCCTCCTGAGTAGCTGGGATTACAGGCACGCACCACCATGCCCAGTTGATATTTTGTATTTTTAGTAGAGACGGGGTTTCACCATGTTGACCAGGATGGTCTCGATCTCTTGACCTCGTGATCCGCCCGCCTCAGCCTCCCAAAGCGCTGGGATTACAGGCTTGAGCCACCGCGCCCGGCTTGTTACACTGTTTACTTTAAAACTGTTCTCTTTATTGAAGTCAGGCAATAACAGACATTGGCAAGTTGTGGAAAAAAGGGAAGGCTTATACACTGTTGGTGGGAATGCAAATTAGTTCAGCCCCTGTAGAAAATGGTTCGGAGATTTCCCAAAGAACTCAAGACAGAATTACCATTCAACCCAACAATCCCATTACTGGGTGTATACCCAAAGGAAAAGAAATCATTCTACCAGAATGATACCTACATTTGTATATTTATTGGGCACTATTCACAATAGCAAAGAAATGGTGTCAACTCAAGTGCCCATCAATGGTGGATTAGACAAAATGTGGTACATATATGCCCATGGAATGCTACACAGCCATAAAAAAGAACTAAATCAGCAACGTGGATGCAGCTGCAGGCCATTACCCTAAGAAAATTATCATAAACATAAAACCAAGTAATGCATGTTCTCACTTATAAGTGGGAGCAAAACACTGGGTACAAAGAGACATGAAGATTGATGCAATAAACATTGGGAATTTCAAAAGCGGGGAAAGGGAAAGAGGGTAAGAGTTGAAAACTACCTATCAGGTACTGTTTGCTACCTGAGGGACAGGATCATTAATCAGAAGCCCAAACCTCAGCATCACACAATATACCCATCTAACAAACCTGCACATGTACCCCTCTGATATCTAAAATTAAAAATATAAATAAATAAGTAAAATGGGTTACATAGCTAAAAAAAATTTTTTAAAGACTGTTCTCTGAAAAGAGCTGCAGGCAGACATCAGATACTGGGCAAACTCCTTTCCCATCTAATTCTCTATATACATTTAGTATCTTTTAAAAAAAAAAAAGAATACAAGGCAAACAAAAACCTCACCAACATTTAAACAACAATACATAAAATTCTAAATAGGAAAAAAGTACTTTATAATGTGTTAAAAGTTCATGTTTCTCTCTAGATATAAAATAGAAATTGTCACATCTTAGAAACTGAACCCTTGAGGTAGAATACATAATCACATTTATTAAAGTAGGTAGAAAACCCACTGCAGTGTTACTGTCCAAGAAATGGTTGCAAAAGAGTCAAACCTCAAACATTACTATTAAGAAAACACAAAACATAGGCATTGACAATTAATCTTTATTCAGTCATATATTTAAAGCATAATCCTAAAAATTATTCAAAAATAATGTTATACTTACTCTTTTCATTTGGTCTACAGTAATGGCAGAAGACATCCAAAGGGACTTTAATAAATCCAAAATCATCTTAAATGTACTTTCTCCGGTTGACTCTAAAACCATTATAATAGCCTAAAAATTGAATGAATGAATGAATGAATGAGTGAATTTTTGGTTATTCACATACAAAACTGCTCCTAAAACGTACCAGATGCATTTTATAATCATAAAAATTTAAAAACCAATTCCTCCTTTGACATTAAAAAGAAGGTGTATATTATTTAAAAAGCATAAATCACTGTGGTACATGAATTACTTAATTCTCTTTGACATGGCAAGATAATCTTACTTCATATACAAGCTCATGGTGAAAATGAGGTACTTCCAGTTCCTTAAGGCAATGTTCAGCTTCAGATATATCTCCAGAGAGTAAATATTCTTTCAGCAGCATATCAATCTATTAGATTTAAAAGTTGAGATGTGTTAGAATTCCTAACTTTTAAAAAATTGTGCTTGCCTACAGGATTATCGGCCCTCATTCCAATATAATGAAATAGTAGGTAACAAACAGCTAATACTACACAGACTGGACATGGTACTATTATAACAGAATTTTTCATAATTAAAAAATAAATCCCTAGTTTTTAAATGGTTCATAATTATGATTCAAATGCAATGCTTCAGTGTGTCTGAATCTACAAGTAGGTTTATAATGCATGCATCCTGGATTGTGACCAAAATGCTTTATTTAGTGTGCCCTATTAAAAATAAGGGATTTTAAATACCACTAGAGGGCACTAACAAAGTTTCAATATAAAGTGGCTTAAAATATTTTACTTTGATCACGATATTCTTAATAGTTCACTGAGCCAAAAACTGCAAGATGATAATGGGGCATTACTAGACAGGGCAAAGATTTCCATATAGTCTCTTCTCTACAACTGAGAATTAAAACTCATTCATTATCTAAAATGCTCAATAATTCCATTTCCAGGTGTAGCTAAAGAGACAAGTCTTGATTTTCCTGCTCAAACTTGAACATCTCTAAAAAGTGGGAGCTTTCCAGCACAAGAGCTTCAACTAGGAATATTTCTCCCTATATGCTATTTGTTAAAATCACCTTTGTATCTAGTGGGCACATATCTACTTGGCTGAATGCTGAATGTTGGCTGACTGAATTTTTTAAAAATCCTATTTAAGTATCCTCTGCTTCCAACTTCTATAATGTATTTTCATAAAGGTAAAGTAAAATTTAATTGCTGTCATGCTCATGCTTTAAGATGTAATATTTACATGTAAATATGTATTGTAATATTTACATGTAAATATTTAAAGCACAGCATTTGAATATTTTTACTTTATAATTACAAATTAATAGTCGTGCATCATTTAATAGGAATACATTCTGAAAAGTGTGTTAGATAATTCTGTCATGGTGTAAACATCATAGAGTGTAAACTCACAAAAACCTAGATAGGATAGCCTACTACACACCAATTCTATCCTATCTAGGTTTTTGTGAGTATACACTAGGTTTTTGTGAGTATACTCACAAAAACATTGTTGAAAGATCTTAAGACCTAAATAAATAGAGTGATATCCCATGGTTATGATTAGAAGACTTGTTAAGATGGTAATACTCTAATAGATTATAATAATAATCTAATAGATTTATATGGGATAGCCTATTGCTCCTAGGCTACAAATCTGTAGAGCAGGTCACTATATTGAATAATATAGGCAACTGGAACATAATGGTATTTGTGTATCTAAACATATCTAAACATAGAAAAAGTACCGTAAAAATACAGTATAAATGATTTTTAAAATGATACACCAGTATTGAGCACTGGATATGAATAGAGTTGTCAGGACGGAAGTTACTCTGGGTGATTCAATGAGTGAGTGGTTAGCGAATGTAAAGGCCTAAGACATTACCCATACACTATTATAGATATTATAGACTTTATAATCACTGTATATTTAGGCTCCACTAAATTTATGAAAAAATAAAGTAACTGTGCTACAACATTACAACTGCCTCCGTATCACTCAGTGATAGGAATTTTCCGGCTCCATTTATAACCTTATGGGACCACCACCATCCCATGCAGTCCGGTCCATCATTGACCAAAACATTATGTGGCACATGACTGTACTTGTTATTCAAGTTACATTACTTAGTTTTAACATTTGTTACATAAAAGTATTAAAAATATCTCCCATCAAATGCCATGCACTTCTCTGAGAATGATAAATTACAAACACATTTATACATTTGTGAAAGTCTCCTTTGATCCAACCCTTCCTTAGTGAATATCCAAATAATGTCAACCTCAAACTCATATACTGGTAGTTTTATTTCCATTTTCATCTTGTCAATTTTTTTTGAGAGAGAATTCACACCCCATAAAACAGCCTGTCAGTTTCCAAAAATATTAATTTTGGAGAGTATTACCATCTTAACAATATTAAGTCTTCTAATCATAACCATGGGATATCACTCTATTTATTTAGGTCTTAAATCTTTCAACAATGTTTTGCAGTTTTCAGTGTACAAGACTTGCATTTGTCTTGTTAAATTTATTCCTAAGTATTTTATTTTTATGCTACTGTAAATGCAATAATTTCATTTCAGATCATTCATTCCTACTGTATATAGAATTGAATTTTGTATGCTGATCTTGTATCCTACAACCTTTCTGAATTCATTTTTTAGTTAATAGTTTGGTTTCAGTTTTGGGGAGCTAAAAAATGTTGTATATTAACTCAGATTTTCTGTATACAGATCATGTTATCTGGGAATACAACTAGTTTTATCTCTTCCTTTCCAATCTGGATGCCTTTTATCTTTCCTGCCTAATTGCCCTGGCATCTTGACTATTTTTATACTTCAATTTTTCTAGTAACTGTTTAATTATTTTTAAAACAGCTACTGCAACCATGACATTACAATGACTCATCTATTTTAACATATGTAAAATCAAAACAGCCAAGGCTCTGACTACATTTTGAAGTCCTTAACACTTAAGCTAGATACATACACACATACATACACACACACACACACACACACACACATACACACACATCCTCATTAAAAGACTAAAAATCAAAATTATAGTTACACGAAAAGATTATACTCAAAAATCAGAAGCACATGAACTATAAATCTTCTAGTTGCATGCCTTTCCTTAAAGAGATCTGCAGATAAGGAGTTTTGTTTTTTGGTTTCTTGTTATAGAATACCACATTACAGCCAGAAAAAAAAAATCCATAAGTAATAAATCTGACATTTTAATGCAATAAATGGTTTTTTGGGTTTTTTATTTATTTTTTTATTTTATTTTTTTTTTGAGAGAGAGAAAGTCTTGCTCTGTCACCCAGGCTGGAATGCTGTGGCACAATTTTCACTGCAACCTCTGCCTCCTGGGGTCAAGTGATTCTGGTGCCTCAGCCTCCTGAGTAGCTGGGATTACATGGTGCATGCCACCATGCCCGACTAATTATTTTGTATTTTTAGTAGAAATGGGTTTCACCACGTTGGCCAGGTTGGTCTTGAATTCCTGGCCTCAAGCAATCCACCCGCTTCAGCCTCCCAAACTGCTGGGATTACAATCAATTACTTTTTCTTTCAAAACATGCATACAGGTGGTGAACACCCTCACAAAAATCTAACACTCTGATCTACTCTAGTGCTCATAATTCTTAACTTATGATTTAAGACTATCTAGTTTGAAATTGCTCATATAAGAGCACATTTATTGAACAGTTAAGACAAAATCTCATTTCAACAGCATTTAAAAATTATTAAATAATAATATAAGAAAAAGATGTTAGGCATTCCTTTGAAGTTCACAGATAGCTTGTTTATAATTATTCATGAAAGCCCTTTTAACAATATCATTTTTAATCATATAATTTATAAGAGATTATAAAGCCAAATGTAAAAGAATTATTTCATTTTCAAATTGCAGCTGTAAGACCGAACTCAATTTTTGTCCATAAAAATACCAGCTAGTAGCCACAATTTATTTCTCTCAGGAGAATACATATAAATTAAGTTAAAAACAATACCCAATCATTACCTCTTTAACAAGGTGATTGACAGATTGCTGCCCACCTCCAGAGCCCCACACATTATCTTTACGCTTTCCACCTTTAGACATACTCAGAAGCACGGTGGCCTTATCCAGAGCAGCTCTACAGAGAAAGAAAAGAATTTAAGTTTGATAGCTGGACATACCTGAAGTTTACCAAATTATGGATAAAGCTGACAAAATCCTATATGGCCAAAATCTTTCACATAACATAAAAGCAAAATAAAATTCAAAACACTTTTTCAAAACAAAAAGGAGCAAAAAAAGTTGATTATCACGTTAATATTCTCATGCTCTATTTGACTTCTCATTCAAGAAAAATCAAAAGACATAACTTTTGATTTTTCTTGAATGAGAAATGAAATAGAGCATGAGATATTACTGATCTACACACTGAAAAGAAACACTTCACATATAATTAACTTTCACCTAGATACATGCCTTCCTACCCAGGGAGACCCTTCGTCTATGATCTGAAGTAGCCCTAGAAAATTAAGCTGGAAACCTAAGACATGGCTAAGTCCAAGTCCCCAAGAAGTTAAGAAAAATCATACAGCGTAACTCCCAAATAATCACATTTAGATATACCAAGTATCATATTTATTATACTAAGTGACGAGTGAAAAAGACATTTTCTAAGATTTCTAAAGTAGATAAATACAAAACTGTAAATGAGGCCTTTCTGTTAATGTCCATCTTATTAGAATATTATACTACTTACTACAGAATGTTAGAACCTGAAAAGGGAACTTAAAGAAGATCTGTCAAATGGTTTTGTTTTATAAATAAATAAACTGAGGCCCAAAGAAGAGTGGCTTGACATGAAGGTAATTAATGAGTTAGCTAAATTCCAAAACGTTTGCATTATAGTACTGTCCGCTTCCTGGTAAATCATGCCAACAGTTTCTCCATTTTGTTTTAACAGTGGAGAATATATATAGACAAGTGACAAACAGATGTACGGAGTGTCTGATTAATACAAGTATCATTTCAACAGGATCCTCTAGAATGTTCCCTTATTTAGAAATTCTAAGTAGGAAAAGTAATTTACTTACCTAGCCTGTACACAATCTACAGTTCCTTTGTAACTATCAATGTAGGTATTACATAAAATTCCATCTCCAACAGCTCTAGCAATAAACTGACCCACCAACTGTAATAAGAAAAAGACAGAGCTATGTAAAAAAATCTAAAATAACTTTTATAGAACACAATTTCTAAATACATAAATGATGAAGACTGGTCAAACTACCAGTCAATACCTAAAAAAATGCTGGAATTTGTTTTTTAAACCCAGGTACCTGTTATCCCTGGCATATACTCCCCCACATCTTAATTTTCAAGTTAAGTGCCAGAATGGGGGACACATGTTTTGCTCACTATTGAATCCCTAATACCTTGCACACTGCCTGAATATACAGTATATGACCAAAAACTATTTATTAAACAAATGACTTAAGGTCAAGTGAAGTCTTCTCTTCTTAAAAAAAAAAAAAAATGGGGCCAGGTGCGGTGGCTCATGCCTGTAATCCCAGCACTTTGGGAGGCTGAGGTGGGTGAATCACTTGAGGTCAGGAATTCAAGACCAGCCTGGCCAACACGGTAAAACCCCATCTCTACTAAAAAAACAAAAATTAGCCAGCCACGGTGGCCATGTGCCTGTAATCCCAGCTACTCAGAAGGCTAAGGCAGGAGAATCACTCGAACCTGCGAGGTGGATGTTGCAGTGAGCCAAGACTGTGCAACTGCACTCCATCCAGCCTGGGTGACAAAGCAGACCCCATCTCGAAAAAAAAAAAAAAAGGACTAGGTTCTCTTAAAAACTAATCAAAAGAATTTATCTTGTGGAGAAAATAGTTGTGTAGAAATAGTTTAAAGTATATTCACAGCATTATTTCTTATAAAAATTGGAATTTAGTGTCCAAAAATAAAGGTATTGTTAAATAAAGGTACATACATAAGATGGTATACTATGTGGCCATAGGGAAAGGTATTTACCATATTTTATGGTATGAGAAAAATCAAGTTTACAAAATAGCATACATGGTATGATTCCATTTTTTAAATTTAAAAAAATTAGGGATTTTTAAAAGCCATACATTGATATATACCCACAGACAGTAGAAAGGAAAACTTAACACCAGCAGTAGTTTTTGCTGGACTTTCTTCTTTCTGGCTTTCTTTTTCAAAAATTCTATAACGAATATAAACTTATATAATCATTTTCTTAAAGTATGTGTATTGGTATAAACAGGAAAAAATGTCTGCGTTAGGATCACCACTCTATACCTCATACAGACTATTGTCCGTCATAACAGAAACAGTATTTAAGAACTGACCTGCCTATATTCTATTTCTAAATTAACGTTTAAGTGATTTTACTTTGATTAAAAACTTTTGACAATAGCAACAATTTCACATTTTCAAAGCTACAAAAGGGAAGAGCCTTATTTATGTCTTTTTATAAAAAACAGCGAAGCATTCAATCATAACTACATTTTAAAAAATCTTAGCTAATAAAACCACCACATATAACAAATACTATGTACAGCAAAAATAAAAATGACCTAAAAACTACATAGATCATGGGGAAAAAGTAGTCCATAACATTAAATGTATAGCACGATTCCCCTTCCATCTACCACAATTTCCTAGGAGCATGTATTGTTTCTCTAATTAGGAGTGTAGTAGTGGGAGGGAATGAACAAAAAGAAGAATCATACAAACCTGTGGTGCTCTAGGAGTATCCAGTGCTAATTCAGGTAGATCTTTCAACAATTTATCAAATGATTTTTCCACATCACTTGTGCTCATTACTGTCCCACAAAGGTCAGAAAGAAGCTTAGATGTCATCTCTCTATGACTAGCCTTCCCCTCCAATGCTAAGGACACTGCCAACACCGGTACTCCACTTTTCATTTCACCAAGATTTAAATCTCTTAACATTTCCTGTTCAAAAAAATTATTTTAAAACATTTTAAAAGTATATCACTACTTACAGTTCAATAAAATTTTATTTTTGAAAAATCAAGCTTTTATCTATGTATCTGTCCCTCTTTGGAAATAATCAAAAGATACAGTCATACTTTAGGAGACAGGATAAATACACTTTTCCCTGTGCATAAATTAGACATTGATCCACTTGTAAATGTCTTAACATCGCTAAATTAAAAAATGTGAAATACATTTAAATACCATTCTGAGAAATTCATCATTTAGGTGATTTCATCAATGTGCAATCATTATAAAGTGTACTTACACAAACCTAAATGGTATATCCTACATGTAAGCTATATGGTGTAACTTATTGCTCCTGGGCTACAAACCTTTACAGTATGTTACTATACTGAATACTGTAGACAATGTAACACAATGGTTACCTACGTTAACACAGAAAAGATACAGTAAAAAGATTCTATGAGACCACCAGTGTATATGCAGTCTGTCATAGAAACATCATTACGCAGCTCACAATTCGTCCCTTAAACCATATAATATTGCTAAGATTAGTATTAGGAGTTAACCTTCTGCCTTATAATCTATTATTTCTAGAAATATTGTTATAAGAATTTGTAGACAAATTCATTTTACATTATCATAAGCTATTTATATTCTACTTCAAAGCCTTCTCTTGAAATAAAAATTCACTTTACACTGTTGTAACAAGTTTAAAATGAGATCTTAAACAACTGTTTTTAAAAAATGTATTGACTTAAAAATTCTACGGTAAATTTAAAATTTCCTACTAGAAATTTAACAGCTGCAGCTAATACTAATGTATCAGGCAGTATAATAGCCACTTTATTTAATACTCGAATAACCCTTTGAGTATTAAATGATCATACCTATCATACTCAAAGCACAGAATAGGTAAGCTGAGGGCACACAGCTGGAGTAACCAAACTGAATGTGGAATACAGGCGGTCTGACTCTAGAAGCTCAATTCTAATTCAGTTAATAATGTCCTCCTCTTGGCCGGGCGCGGTGGCTCAAGCCTGTAATCCCAGCACTTTGGGAGGCCGAGGCGGGTGGATCACGAGGTCGAGAGATCGAGACCATCCTGGTCAACATGGTGAAACCCCATCTCTACTAAAAATACAAAAAATTAGCTGGGCATGTTGGCGCGTGCCTGTAATCCCAGCTACTCAGGAGGCTGAGGCAGGAGAATTGCCTGAACCCAGGAGGCGGAGGTTGCGGTGAGCCGAGATCGCGCCATTGCACTCCAGCCTGGGTAACAAGAGCGAAACTCCGTCTCAAAAAAAAATAATAATAATAATAATAATGTCCTCCTCTTTAATCAAAGTTTTCTTAGAATCTTTAAATCACGATATACTACTAAGAGAGTGCCAGAACTATTTTCACAGCCATCTAATTGGCATCCTTATTAGTAATCTCTTCCCACTCACTGCATTTCATTTTCCTTAACTGCACTTTAACGACTAATCCATTACCCTCAAACATGATACTCCTCTTTCCTGGAAAAATATCTTAACTGGCAAATTCCTCACCATCCTTTAGACAGCTGAGAATCATCTCTACTATTTCTCTCTATTTTATGCTTTCCAAACACTACTGGCTAGCACTACGCAGTAATACATACGTAGTATACAACTGGTCTTATGCTATATAGATAACAAGATTTCAACAGTCCCTGCCCTCATAGGACTCAGTAAAATTTTTCCTCTATTACAGAATGTTTCACATACTTTAATAATCTGTTTACATATCATTTCTTTCACTTGACTGGGCTTCAAAAGGCAATAATCACCTATTTACAAATTCCTGCAGATGATATGTACTGAACAAATATTTGTCTTATATTAAAATCCTACAAATCCAAAGATACCAAACCTCACAGTCTCAGACAAATCAAGAAAGTTTGGTCTAAATTTTAGAATATAAATGATCAAAGTCTTCTAAAGAGTTAATTGTATTACTTTAATCAATAATCCTAACTAGACCAACGGTTTTATTTTATTCTAGATTTAGTTTATGAACAACTCATAATTATTCTTATGGTTTCTGTATATTCTTCTTCAAATCTTTATTATTTGTGGTGGGGGTTTTCAAACAAAGTACAAAGAGATTTTATCCTACTTCTGAACACATTTGAAATAAATGTCAAAAAAAATGAAACTGTGTCAGGTGTTCTTAACTGAGGTCCTTGAAGAGGTTTCAGGGGGCTCTTACAAGTGCCCTCAAATTTCTAAAATTATATCTTATAAATTATAAAAACAGATTTTATAAATTCATATAAATTACAAATTATCATTATAAAAATTATAAAAATATTGTGTTGTGTCATTTTTCAGAGAAGAAAATGACAAATAGCTCTCATCACATCCCAAATATATGCAATGAGATTTTATTCCATTTCCTAGAAATTCATTTATGCAAAAGAAAATGCTTAAATTTATTCAGTGACCCAAGATCATTCTAGATGCATTTTGCTTATGAAAGATGTTTTCTCTCCTATATTAAATAAATTATACTTGCAACTTTAAACCTACCGCAACTTCATTAGTATCTCCATGCTCAAAATATTCCTGTATGATTGGTGTTAAAGTCTTCTCAAATGCCCTTTCATCCAAAGGCAAAACTACAGTTTCATAAACACAGTTCTCCTGTTAGAGGAAAAGGGAGTAAGAGTTATAAAAAATAAGATGCAAGTAAACTGAAATTGTTGTGTAATTTTATTTTCCAAGTAGTTAATAATCCCCACTTAGCACAAGATAAAGACATGCTACATACATTGATCACTTATATAAAAATAGAATCCAGGCCAGGCACGGAGACTCATGCCTATAATCCTAACATTTTGGGAGGCAAAGACAGAAGGATCACTTGAGGCAAGGAGTTCAATGCTAGCCTGGGTAACATAGCAAGACCCTGTCTCTACAAAAAAATTTTAAAAATTAGCCAGGCATGGTAGCCTGCACCTGTAGTCGTAGCTACTCAGGAGCCTGAGGCAGAAAGATCTCTTAAGTCCAAGAGTTCAAGGCTGCAGTGAGCTATAATTCACTACTGTCCTCCAGCCTGGACAGCAAAGCTAGATCATCTCTAAAAAAAAATAATAAAAATAATAGAATGTATACGTCACTGCTCTTTCACAAAATCAGAATACAATTAAGCCAGTATATAGAAATGAAGCAGGAACCAAAGCCTTCTTGATTAGCATTGTCATAATAAAAAGTGTAACACAAAGATCAATGTTGTAGTGACACAAAACTCTCTAAGGAAAAAAGCACTGTTCATTTGAAATTTCAAAAAGAAGATTAACATCCATCATCAAATCATTCTTCTCTCCCCTACAAACAAAGCTCTGAAATGTAGTCCCCCCTCCTTTCTATAGGGGGGACATTCCAAACTTCCCCTCCAGAGGATGCCTTAAACCACAGATAGTACCAAACCCAATACCGTTTTTTCAGTCTGATAACCTAGACAGCTACCATATGACAAATGTGTGAGTAGTGTATACATTGTGGATACACGCTGGACAACGGAATGGCTCACATCCTGAGCAGGATGGAGTGGATGAAGCTGGGCAGCGGGAGATCTCATCACACTACTCAGAATGACATGCAATTTTAAACTTATGAATTAATTCTGAAATTTTCTATTTACTATTTTCAAACTACAGTGGACCATGAGTAACTGAAACTGCAGAAAGTGAAACCATGGATAAGGGTGGACTACTATATTTGCAACTTGTGACTGGCTTCACCCTAAAAACATGTATTTGAAAGACTAATACATTTTTAGCAAAGATTCTACAGTTCTTCAATCCCACTGGTTTCATATTTTTCATATCCTCTTAGAAATATTTCCATGTCCAACTATTAGTTAAAATAGTTAAATACATACATATAACACATAATAAAAACAACCTAACATATACTCTTGACATTTTTCTGTCTAAAATTTCCATCACTGTGACTTACCTTATGCAAGGACATAGTTTTCAAAAAAACATAATCATAACATTTGGGATTTGCTTCAAAATAATCCAAAACAGGGTGGGGAGAGCGGCCAACAGAAGATGAAAAGTAAATGGAATGAAACAAGATTGCCTATGAGTTTATAATTATTTTAAGTCTGTAAAGCTAAGAGATGAGTACAAGCAGATTATACTGTTCTACTTTAAATTTTTTTCCATTAAAAAAATACTAAAAATTTACTAATCTATTAAAAATTTACATTTTCAGCATTATCCCTAAAAGAAAGATGCACATGTCCCCAAAACAAAATTTATTATATACTTACCATTCTAAACAGTAATATTTAAAAGGAACTTAATAGCTATGTCATAATATTCAAAAGATACTCTCAATTATCATTACTACAGAAACAAACTATATTAACAGAATTTACTGAAAAATGGCCAACTTAATAAACCTAAATGACTTTGTAAAGAGCTATTTTTGACTCACTTCAGAAACCAAGTGAAAATTATGCATGTATTACTGTCAGTTTACTTGGTTTCCTAATTCAAAACACATATATACATATTTAGAAACATTTTAAATATTACAAAAAAAGCAAAGCACTCATACCTGGTCATCATCATAGTTAGGATCTTTCACATCTACCTCCTCCACATCATACACCTGTCCAGGTGTACCCCAGACACCTTTGCCTCCTGCACCACCTGAGAAAGTTTAGAGTTGAGAAAGAAAAAACACAAAGTTCATCAATTTTTGTTGAAATATAAAATAATCCTAAATATTCTGATGTTAAATAACAGCTAAAACACTGTATTTAATGTCTGTTAGTTTTTTTTCCCAGTTTTTCCCCCAGTGGTTTCCTTTTTGTTCAGACCACTTTTTCAATAGTATTTCCAAAAAACATTAAGTTGAAATAGCTTATAAAGTTAAAAAACTAAAAAAGTAGATGCTTTAAAATAAAAGCAAACCCAAATAAAGATTTAAAAATAGCTATGTTGAGGACCTCAAAGGAGATGGTATTGCAGCCGAGCTCTAAATTTTATTTGACATTTCTTGGGACCACGACAAAAAGAAACATGCTGGGCCAGTAAAGCATAGCACAGAAAACTCAACCAGGGAATAATTATTTAACAACAAAGGACAGTAACCACCATCAAATATTTTAAGTCAAATACAGTAATCTTTAAATATAAAAGTATACATTAAACTATACAACTAGCAATATGTTACAAATATACTAAAGAATTCTAATTGCTTTTTAAGCATTAACAGCTCTGAAAACTCTATTTTCTAAATACAAAACAACCAACAGAAGCTTAACAATTCCAACTTTTAAAGTTGCTTTTCTACATCAACTTATTGAAATGTTTTAAGGACCAATACACTGTATTATTTTTTAAAGAACTTTTACAGTGTCACCAACATTTCTATTTTTGGAGATTTCTATTTTGTACCTTGCCATCAGACCAAAACAGAATCTGATAACTAGGTTTCATTTTTACGTAAATCATGATTGCAGAGCCATTCAACAAAAATAATTTTTGAAAGATCACAAAAACATTTTACAAGAGACTTAGGCTATAAATTGAAGTTCCCGCCATTCAGAAACTGATGAAATCATTAGAACTCTTATTCAAAAAAATATTTGTCTACCATGTGCTAGTCACTATTTCAGGTAGTAATGATACAACAGTGAAACAGACCAATCCATTACAGAACCCAAAATAAATAAAGAGAACTCAGAACCAGATCTAGGAAAATATTACAATTCATATCTAGACATTATCAATCAAATTTATATTTGTTATTAGTAGTAATGGACAAATTATATTAAATAATAAGTATGGCCAGGCGCAGTGGCTCAAGCCTATAATCCCAGCACTTTGGGAGGCCGAGGTGGGTGGATCACGAGGTCAAGAGATCGAGACCATCCTGGTCAACACGGTGAAACCCCATCTCCACTAAAAATACAAAAAATTAGCTGGGCATGGTGGCACGTGCCTGTAATCCCAGCTACTCAGGAGGCTGAGGCAGGAGAATTGCCTGAACCCAGGAGGCGGAGGTTGCGGTGAGCCGAGATCGCGCCATTGCACTCCAGCCTGGGTAACAAGAGCTAAACTCCGTCTCAAAAATAATAATAATAATAATAATTATAATAAGTATGATGAATTTCTGACTCCTTTCAAACTTGGAGAACATAAGCAAAACTCTTAACAGTGAAAAACATCAGTGTATATTTTGCTGGAAATAAACTAACATTCTGCGCAAGAAAATTAAATCTATTCAAACAAGAAAAAAGATCAACCTAAAGAAAAAGTGAGATGGTCCTCACAGTATCACTAAGTAAAAATACATACAAACTGTAAAGACTTATATTATTATATATTATTACTGTTTAAATTTCTCTCATTCCTAGAACAAGGAAATTGTAGTACAAGAACCAGACAATTTTTTTTTCCACTTGTTTATTTTCCATTTGTTGGACATGATATATACCAACCTTTCTTTGGTAGTCCCCTTCCTTTCCCAGATCTGGATCGCCTATCCAGCAACCTTCCCTTTGGACTAGTGGGCACAGTTACTCCACTTCTAAGGGCGTCACTCCCATTGTCGCTGACCGAATCACCTCTGCCAGAGTCCCGGGATGAGTTTTTCCTTAGTCGCCTTTTTGCCTTGGCATTAATTCTAGCTTCATTAATGGAGGATGCTGAAATCCAGTTTCCATTTATTTCATTCTTAATTTCCTCAGTCCCAGTATTTTCTTCATCACCGGAAAAGAGAGAGTCACTTAAATTATCAGGATCTTAAAGAGAAAAATGAAGAAAGAAAATTCTAAGTATTTTAAGTATCTACTGTTTTACAGATATAGTGGTAAGTTAGATTAGGTTGAATCACATGACATTACCAATTTTGTAGGTAAATTACAGTCACATACCGGGAATTTCATCTACTTCAATCTAATAAACAACAACTAAATAAGATTACTTTTCACATTATCAAGAAAAGTAAACCAAGGCACTGAATTTTACCAAAGTTTACCAAAAGCAGCATGTTATTTCACGTGTTTAGATCATAAAATCTATGTTAACAGCAACACCAAATATAAAACCCTTAGACTTTTGTGAGCTGAGAGTTAAGCAATTGGAGACATTTAAAAAAAAAAAACAAAGCATCTTGAGAAGATAGATGAGCTAATATTTATAGAATGCCTACTATTACTTATCAGGCACTGTGCTGGACACTCCATCATTTATTTATGCACAAGTTTGGCAGTTAATTATTATAACATTGATATAGATAAGGAAACTAAGAGGCTGAGAATGTTTCAATGATTTGCCAAACATCCATAACCAGGTATAAATACTTATATTAGTAATCCAAAAGAGAATGAAAGGCATTTAGCAAATACTTAATCGAATATAATTGTGGAGAACTGCTTGCTGATGCTTTACTGCCTTCAAGATAAATTTTGCTTTCAAGAAAAGCCATCATCTCAAAGTCCTAATTCATCTCCCTTAACTTTTCTTGTATTAGTTACCATCCTGAAAATCTCCCAGCCTATATAAAATTGATTCTTCTTAAAGAGATCAACATACTGGAGTTCCCAGTGCTTCCCCTACTTAGAATGTCACCCTCATTCTTCTTTCCAGTTATTAAAATCCTTTAGGATAATAGCCCAAGTCTTACTCCCTCCATTAAAACTTCCCCTTCAACTCTAGCTACAGTAACACTAATTGCTCACCTATTCATTCAACACGTGATGGAAATCACTTTAGTTCTTTTTATATAGCAGTCTTTTTCTTCCAACAAAGTCGTAAGTTTGAAAGGAGAAACCACAACTAGACTGTATGTTCTTCTTTGTATCCCCATCACCTAGCACAGTGTCCTTCATACTCAAATTCCATGGAGATCAAGTGGAGGCACTTGGCTTTGCCCTGAAAGCTCTTTAAGTCAGAAAGGCTACAGAATTAGCTACCTCTGGGCCAGAGAGGTTCATTATGGTTAACTCAAATTAGAGCTGAATCACCCAAATCATTTTCTATATGCCTATAGATTATGATAACATGTCAGGTCTACATGCATGGACTTTAACATGTTTTAAGATAGGTTGAAATAAAAAATTTTCATCAACCTATAAAAAGCATGCATATGTTTAAAGTCTTTACAATTCTTGACATACTTAGGAAGTTAGGAATGTTTTGTTTTTAACAAAATCATCAGAGACAAATTATTTCACTAGTTTCATAAGTAGTCTCCCTGACTCTACTATCCTAAATGGAGAATGATTTTCTCACGTATGCCCTCACTGAAAATCCTTTAAAAGTATTCCCATTATGTCACAAAAAATATAAACTCTTTACCTTGTAACTTAAGGTCCTTTATGATCTTGCCCCTGCTTACACCTCACCAGAATCACTGCTAACTACTCCCATGCTCAAATTGTCAGACCTTAGGTTAGATACCATAGGGAGGAGATGGGAAGGATTCATTTGACAGAAGAATACAGAGTATATTACAAAAAGAGAAAGTATAAAGTTGGAGACCTGCTAAGAAAATGTTTCAGTAATTCAGTCACAAGCTAACTGGACCTGCTAAGAAAATGTTTCAATAATTCAGTCACTAGCTAACCTAAAAATTTTAAGCAGAATGTTTCTAGGATTAAAGAGAAGTAAAACAATGCCTTACAAGTTTTCGAACTGGTAAGAAACTGGTGTTAGGATGGTGTGTTTGAAGCATCATTATAACCATCAGTAGTAATTACAGACTTAGTGGTGGCAGTAGTAATAGTACGGCTTTATCGCTACCATTACTACTGTCATCTATTAAATACCAGGTTCCGTACTACCTGGTACCTATTAGATACCAGGTTCTATGCTAAGCGCTTTACATATGTGGTCTATAAGCCTCAAAAAACTATTAAAAAACTGTTTATCCTCATTTTACAGAAGGAAGGTTTTTCACAGAGAAGTTACATATCTAGAAACAATTATGGCTAGGTTTCAAACCCACATTTTTAATCCCATATAACTACAGAAAGTAAAAAAACTAGAATACAGCAGTGTTGACAGCTAAAGAGACAGAGATGAACAAGGGATTGAATGTAAAGAAAGATAAACAAAAAATGATTAAGTGAAATTAGCTGAGCATGGTGGTGCATGCCCAGCTACTCAGGAGGCTGAGGCAGGATTATTGCCTGAACCGAGAGGCGGAGGTTGTGGTGAGCCGAAATTGTGCCATTGCACTCCAGCCTGGGTAACGAGCGAAATTCCATCTCAAAAAAAAAAAAAAAAAAAAAAAATGATTAAGTGGAAGGAGACAGAAAGACCAGTATCAGATAAATTAGATGACATTTTCTTATAAGAGTAATGGTTGAGAAAAAAATTAAACATCTACCTGTAATATAGTGCTTTCATCATTGTACTACTAAGGTGAACCACAAAACTGGTCCAGAAGATACAGGACTCAGAACTATGATAAACGGTCTTAAACTGTCCCTTGGAGTATTCAATTTCAATTTAAATATATCTATTTTCCATAATTGAGTTTTCTTTTTTTTTTTTTTTTTTTTGAGATGGAGTTTCGCTCTTGTTACCCAGGCTGGAGTGCAATGGTGCGATCTCGGCTCACCGCAACCTCCGCCTCCTGGGTTCAGGCAATTCTCCTGCCTCAGCCTCCCGAGTAGCTGGGATTACAGGCACGTGCCACCACGCCCAGCTAATTTTTTTGTGTTTTTAGTAGAGACGGGGTTTCACCATGTTGACCAGGATGGTCTCGATCTCTTGACCTCGTGATCCACCCGCCTGGCCTCCCAAAGTGCTGGGATTACAGGCATGAGCCACCATGCCTGGCAAGTTTTCTTTTCTTAAACCATTTTAATATTCTTTCAAATATGTTTGTGTCTCTGCAGCAGTAAACATTCTCTCTCAATATAATTTATATATTTGACCTTATAATTTTTAACCCATGTTTATATTAATTGCTTTTTTATATTTTGTTATTCATATTCACCTAAGTGCTGGAGTTCCATAACCACTATTGAGCTGACTTTAAGAAAACCAAAATTAAAATGATAACCTAAGTACAGAATGTGATGACTTCCAAATTGTTTTCTACTATGTACTAATTCCCTCTTTCTGAATTCTGACATCCTAATAGTAACCACTCCAACTGTGTATGACCACAGCACCAGAAAATCACATTTTCAATTACTGGTGTCCAATGAGTGGCATAATTAGAATAACAAAATTACCACCATTTTCATGTATTACATACCTCATATGTGCTTCTATTTAACACGCAAATGTGCATACATTCTCATATGTGCTTCAGATTTAACACACAAATCCTAACTGCAAATCTATACAGAGAGTATTTATATCCCACTTTTACACATGAGGAAACTGAAAGTCAGAATAAATAACCCACCTCCTCAAAGTAAAAAAGAGTGTGACTTGGACTATTTCCTATGGAGAGAATTTACTAAAAAGAGAGTTGGCCTTAGCCTATCCAAATATTGAAGAATAAGTGTTTTAAGGCAGTGCTGGACAGAAGCACCGAGAACAGGGTTAGAACTAGGTCTTACTGTAGATAGGAATCAAAAAGTATACATCTTAAAGCTATGTTTCTACTTCTAATAGAACTAGAATGCAAGCCACATAAGAAATTTTAAATTTTCCAGTAGCCACATTAAAAAGTAAAAACAGGTGAAATTAATTTAAATATTTTATTTAATCTAATATAACCATAATATCATCTCAACATCCAAACAATATAAAAAATTATTGAGGTTGTTGACCTTCACCTCAACTCAGAGTAGCCACATTTCAAGTACTCAACATGTGGCCAAGCGCAGTGGTACACACGCCTGTAATCCACCTACTGAGAAGGCTGAGGAGAGAGGGTCACTTGAGCTCAGGAGTAATAACCACCACATGTACCTAGTGGTTACCATACTGAATAGTGCAGAAAAGCAGCAATTACTTATATGTAAAATATATTCTTAAACTGTATTACTATCCCCGTCTCAATTAAGTACATATTACCCATTTATAACCCTAAGGAATACTTACATAGCTATTGTATATAGCAGCACAGAAATGATCATTAATTACATAAAAAATTTTTAAATTTTTTAGCATACTTTAAAAAGATTTGTAAATAAACAATGGTGAAGAAGCTTCAACTTCAATGTGTTTGTTCAGATCAACGAAAACAATACACATTGTAAACAATAGTGAGTTAAGTCATTAAAGAAATAAAGATGTAGTATTTAGTCATGAAATAAAATGACAGAAAATAAAGAGCTTTCAATATTAACAAAATTATAAAGCAAAGAATTATCTAAAATATACCAATATGAACTGTTCTTACTATTCAGATATTGCATAATTCTAATTAACTTTCTGGGGAGATTATTCCAAAAACTATAAAGACATTTTAAGTTGTCTTGTGTTACTCACATCTGGTCATGTATTCCACAAAATTTTGTTCATTTTTACGATAACAACATGCTACTGAAGCACCAAGGAGAATTAAGGAAAATATCATAGGTGATTTAGAGTATAAAAATTATTCATTAGGAAAGATATTAAAGATACCAATAAGTGTATATTACAGAAACCACTAGCCTATGTGAAAATAAGTAGGCTCTCTAGCCTCCATTCTGTACTGTATGCTTTATTATAAACAGTGGAGAATAGGAATGTATGGAATGTGAAAAGATAGGCAGAAAAAGAAGACATGTAATGAATTTCCATGAAATGAATCACAAACTTGACTTTAAAAATAATTATAGCCTGTTTTCTCATAGCATGAATAAAACGGTATTTAAAGTAAAGATAGTTTTTCTATCATGTTTTTACAAAATATGGAATGGCCTGAAGCTTCCTCACAACACAATCAAGGTTCAAGATATTCAGCCTGGACAACATAGTGAAATCCTATCTCTACAAAAAATAAAAAACTAGCCTGGTGTGATGGCACAGGCCTGCTGTCCCAGCTACTGAGGAGGCTGAGGTGGGGGAAAATCCCTTAAGCTCAGCAAAGTTGAAACTGCATTGAACCATCACACCACTGCACTGCAGCCTGAGTGACAGGGCAAGATCCTGTCTCAAACCAAAGAAAAAAAAAAGAAGAAAAGGATATTCTTACTCACCTGCAGGGTTTACATTCAGTATCTGCTCATTTTCTACATCCATTTTTCCTTAATTTCGTTTGCACTGATTAAACAAATTACCAAATGGAAATCTTCCTTCTGAATATGTTTTTTTAAAAGAAAAAAAGAAAGCTTTAACATCCTTTAAACTGATGTGATTTGGCTGAATTAAACTTACTTAAGCACATTGTTAAAAAAAAAAACAAAAAAACATAATTCCATTAAATAAAAGAGTTCACTTTACTTTGAAAGATAACTTACCCTAATTAACATTTGGTTCCAATCTTCTTGATAAATTTATCTAAGTCAAAAAAAAAATCCCAGATGTTTGCTATATATGTTTACTTCAAGTTAAAGAAATACACACGCACATCCAAATCTTTTAGGAATACCAAGCCTCAAAATTAATCTGACATACATATATAGGAATATAAATACTGGACACTGGATAGTTCCCTACCAATGAATTATGAGAACTACTTCAAAATTAAAAAAAATACAGTTTTAGTCAATAAAGAATATCACATGATTGTGTTATTTTTCACATTACGGCATATCTGAAAGGCAGATATATTTGCCACTCATTACCTAAGTTCCTAATTACTAGAATAAGACTGAGATTGGGAGAAACTTTTAAAATCAGCTTTTTTGTCAATATCATTTACATGAGAAATCCATTTTTTTTTTTAAATCTGATCGTCTCAGAAGTACAATGACATAAGCATCTCAGTATTTTAGGCCTCAGTTTCAAAATGGCTATTAATTCTGAAAGGTTTGATGAAATCAGTTACCTTTCAGACAATTCACTTAGTGATACAGATCCAATAATTTTATATTAAAGAAATATCAAAAGTATTCAAAAAATATATTACTAGAAAGTGTAAGCAAATTAAGATTTCAGAATCTCTCTAGAAGTATTTTTTAAATAGTGGTTTAGAGTACTTAAGCATATGTTTAAGTCACATAGGTGATATTAAGTCCTTCCTGTCATTTACAATCATGTTGCTAGCAGTGTTCTCTTCTAGCAGATATAAAATGCACAAATTAGTAAAAAGGCCTAATAAATTAATTACAGAAAAGCACATTTTTTTTTTCCATATAACATAATCTTCTGTTAGATGTCATTTTAGGATAACAATGATACATGCGAAGCCTCCTGGGACTCAAAGGTGAAACCGATTTTTAAATTCCTCATTATAAACTATTATTTGTTAACATAAGTTCATAGCCCTTTTCTTCAGAAAAGGGTATTATTTTGTGAAACAAAAACAAATGAATCTTAGGTTAAAATTTTAAGCTTCTTATTATGGCATAATCCTCAGACTAACATGCTATCATATTGCTTGGGAACTTAAGAAAATGGTGAGATCATTCTCTAATTCTGTCTAGATTAAATTCATATATGTAATTCTTTATAATCACTTTTCAATATAACTCTCACCAACTTTAGATTTGAAAAAAAAATCTTAAAAATATGTATATAGAGATTCATATAGATACATGAACAAAAGCGGTTTGCAAACTTAAACATTTAGCATCCTTCATGGCTGAGAAGGCTACATTCTGTTTCAATTCCATGCATGAATTACCTATAGGAAAGGAATAATGTCATATAATATGTTTGAGTTTTTTAGAGTTCTATTATAAAGTCTTTTTCATTCTTGATCAAAGTATAACCTTTGAGAGAATGTTTTCTGCAGAACCTAGTAAGTGAAATGAATACAACTGATGTTTAAAAAGCCCTTTGCAATTCAAAAAGAATTTTACATGAATTATTTAGTACCTTACAGAACAATCTTCAGGTAGGTATTCCACTTTACAAACAACTAAACAGATTCAGAGAGAGTAGGTAGTACGTCCAAGGACAAACAGCGGCTTAGTTTGAGCCAGGATGAGAATCTAGACCTTCAAAATCCAGTACTGTTTGCACAAGTTCAATCCAAGATTTTAATATCCCATAGGAAGATTCTTTTTTAGGGTTAAAGAAGCTTATTAAAACAGACTTCTGCTGTTAAACTTTTTAAAATACTGTTTTCCAAACACTTAAAATAATTATTTTAAAGTATTATACAGAGGGCATTCCATCAGACAAAACTGTCAGGAAATGAGTATCACCTCTTACCTAATAAAAACAAAGTTATCTTAATTTAAAAAAAAAAAAGTCCTGTGTTTTTAGGCAATAACCCCATCAATAAACTCAAGTCATATTTGAAAGCAACAAACACACATTTTAAGAGTTCAGATAAAGATAATACATGTTCCACGTTTTTACTCTCTTTAAAACTAGGATTTTTTTTCCAATTTAACAACCGTTAACATAATTGGCCCAAACAAGAAAATTCATGGCAAAAAATCCAAATTTCCGTCATACTAACCTATGAAACTGAATTTTCAATGAGAAAACTATACATACAAGTTAGAAGAAAATGAAGGCTGACATTAAACACTGTCCTTTTCTCCAGTGTGTTACTCAATTGCCAAAACATTCCCTAAAAGACCCTCCACTCTCCCACAAAATAAATATGTATCTACGTATATTTGTATGTATTTCCTGAAATATACCTCATAAATTGCTCTGGCATTTTGGGGAGTCAGGCTTTGGCCATTTATTAACTAGAATTACTTATACTCATTCTTTGGCTACAGTCAGCTAATTAGCAGCTTAAAATCAGCTAAAAGCTTGTACCACAATAATGCAAAAATGAGCACTACAGAAAATATTCAAGTGGCATTTATTTTTGCAGTCCTAACAATTATTTTTCCTTTCACATTACTGTCACGAAAAAGCCAATCAATTAGAATTCAAAGACACTTACTGAGACATTAAGGTATTCAATAAACCTATAATGAAGGAATATTAAGGGCATAAATACTAATAACTCCGTGTTTAAAAAGCACTTGGTGGTTTCCCAAACAGCCACGTTAAGAATATCAAAATTGTGGGCAGGGGGGCAGAAAAAAAAGAATATCAAAATTATAAAAATTAACAGTAAAAATGCAAGTTAAAAAACAGGAGAAACCCTGTTTTCCCCGACACTTGGCCGCATTTCTGATCGTCTTCATCATCTGTAGACACTACACAGTTGCCGGCTACGTAGCAAGTTCTCACAAGAGCAAGGGGGAGGTGGGCTCAATTGAGGTCTGCAGACAGTTTCAAAGCTCTTGCAAAACTCCACGTACGTTACAGCACCAAACTGACAAACGCAGCAGATGGCATGCGTTTCACAGAAAGGGGGCTCCCTTCCCGCCTTTGTTTTCTCCGGGAGATTTTATTTTACCTAAACTAAAAAAAAGAGACCCTTTGCCGGAGGGCTGGAGCGGCCTAAGTTCGCACTGGGCGGGCGAGGCGGGCACGTGTGCGCCTCCCAGCGCCCCCGGCGAGGCGAGCGCGTGGCCCCTCCCCGCAGCGGCCCAGCCCGCTCCCTTGCAGGGGGCTCAGGCCCGGATGCCCGAAGTCCCCAGTCCTGGCCGGCCCCTGGAAACTGTTGGGCCGGGACCGGGTCTTCGGGGACACGCCGGGCAGGGGGGACGCATCTTCAGAGGATTCCCAGGGAGGGCAGGGGGCGGGGGACGGTGCGAACCTTCCTCACAGGATTTCAGTCTCACCGGAAACACGCCTTCCAATCCCGACCCCCGAATTCAACCTCCGCCAGAGGGGAAGGAGGGTTGAGGGGGGGCCTTCGCCGGCGCGCGCCCGTCTCAGTGGGGAGAGGGCTCCGGGAAGGGGCGGGCTCGCGTCGCCACACTCCGGGCTGGGCCCAAAAGGAGGGAACCGAGCCGGCTTCCCACAGTCCGGGACGTTGGGGCGGGCGCGGCTGGACCTGCGGAGCTACGAGGAGACAGCCGGACCCCAGCCCCGCAGGCCAGGACCTACCAGGGCCGCGGCCCCCACGCCCCCTCCCATCGTGCGGCTGCCTCCGAGGGGGAATGAGGGAAAGGGCGCAATCTTCCCGAGCGTGCGAGCCGCGCCCACTGGTACTGACCCCTCGGGCCCCAGCCGCTGCTCGCCCAGGTCCCTGGTCTGCCGACCCCGACCCCGCTCCTCTGCCTCCGCCGCCTCTGCCGCCTCGGAGAGTCTCTGGCCCCTCTCGCTCTGTTTGTTTTTGTTTTCTTCTACCCAGTAACACGGGGGCGAGAAGGCTGCGCTTATTGGCCGAGGCCCGGTGGCCGGCTGGCCAGTCGTGGCGGCGGAGCCGGAGCTGGGGAGGAAAAGGGAGCGGAATGAAACGTGGAAAGTTGGGGAGGGGCGCGAGAGGGCGCATGCGCTTGTAGCTCCTGGGACTGGCTGGAGCGGGAGCTGAGCGGGAAGCCGGGGTGGGGGTGCGTTGGGAGGCGTGGCGGGATGGGAGCGTCGGGCACCGGGCAGTGCTGGGGGATGGGGACAAAGATGGAGCTACCTAGACCCCGCGCACCCATTCTCCTCGCACGGCGTTCTGCAAACTCGGCTGAAGCAAAGGTTTTCAGCTTCCTGACGGTCCCTGCCTCCATTTCTAGACACTCCCAAGTATTCAGCCTGTCGGATTCCTTCTCCCTCTGGCCCCTGCTGTCTCCGGGGAGTTTCTGTAGATCCCGTACTAAGAAGTTACTCTCAGCGAATCCCCTCAACCCTTTGAGATAGAAATCATTCCCATTTTACAGATATAAGACAGGCCCCAAAACTCTTTGAAGCCCCTTCGCTAATCATGACTAGCTAAGCCTCTGGCGTTCAGACGCACACGTTCCGGACTCACGTGCTGGGGTTCTGGGCCATGGCTACAATTTCTGTATTGAAATTCCCAGGTCCCCTGGCTGTTCTCTGTGGCCTTTCCTCTTGGCTGCGTTCGTTTTGGCTGGTCCTTTCCGTATTCTTTCTCGGTCGCTGTCCCCTGAGGTAATAACCAGAACCTTATGCTTCCTCTGTGCTCCCAGGAGGGGACTTAGCCACTACCTCTGATCAGATTTTCCAGTTGTTTGGTGGGCAACACATGAATGATAGTTTGGTCTCTCCAGAACCCAACTGTCTAATTCCGCACAAGCCAGCGCCTTCTCCTGGCTGCCCAGTCACCCTGCCTGGGAATCAGCTCTAATGCTACTATTTCTCTGCACAAAACAAAAGAAAACAATAAACCTTCACTGGCTTCCCATTGCCTCTCTTGAGTGTCAGCACCTGGGTCGGTCATTCAGGGCTCCACTATGTGACTTAAAGACTTTCGAGGGCCGGGCGCGGTGGCTCAAGCCTGTAATCCCAGCACTTTGGGAGGCCGAGGCGGGTGGATCACAAGGTCAAGAGATCGAGACCATCTTGGTCAACAAGGTGAAACCCCGTCTCTACTAAAAATACAAAAAATCAGCTGGGCATGGTGGTGCGTGCCTGTAATCCCAGCTACTCAGGAGGCTGAGGCAGGAGAATTGCCTGAATCCAGGAGGTGGAGGTTGCGGTGAGCCGAGATCGTGCCATTGCACTCCAGCCTGGGTAACAAGAGCGAAACTCCGTCTCAAAAAAAAAAAAAGACTTTCAGGCTGTGTCTCCACACGTCTCCCTACACGATTCCCCACCCCCTGCTAGTTCTTTATATAATCACCTTGAACTGTCTCTCTCCTTACCTCTATCTCTGCCTGGTGCAATCCTGTCTGTGCCTCATGGCCCTCCCTGGTAGTTTTTTATTTTTATTTTTGGTTTTTGGTTTTTTTTTCTTTAATTGGGCCAGGGACTTGCTCTGTCGCCCAGGAGAATGCAGTGGCATCATCACAGCTCACTGCCGCCTTGACCTCCCTGGCTTATGAGACCCTCTCACCTCAGCCTCCTGAGTAACTGGGACTACAGGCGCCCCTCACTATGCCCAGCTAATTTTTGTATTTTCTGTATGGACAGGGTTTCGTCATGTTGTCCAGGCTGGTCTTAAACTCCTGGGCTCAAGCAGGCAGCCCAAAGCATTGGAATTACAACCGTGAACCACTGTTCGTGGACTGCGGCAGTTTTTCTGGAGCCTCATGATATGATCTTCTTGACCCGATTCCTCACAGTATTGGCTTGTCACGCCACCAAAGGCACTGATCACATTCTACCTGACGTTATTTTATCTGAGTCCCTGTCCTTGTTTAGGGGAAGACCTGTGTCTTACTCATCTGGGTTTCGTTATTGTTGCAGTCGTTGTTTTGAGACACGGTCTTGCTCTGTTGCCCAGGCTGGAGAGCAGAGGTGCAATATCGGCTCACTGCAGCCTCCACTTTTTGGGCTGAAGCCGTCCTCCCACCTCAGCCTTCCAAGTAACTGGGACTGCAGGCATGTGCCACCACAACAGGCTAATTTTTTGTATTTTTAGTAGAGACAGGTTTTTGCCATGTTACCCAGGCTGCTCTCGAACTCCTGAGCTCAAGGGATCTGCCCGCCTCAGCCTCCCAAAGTGCTGGGATTACAGGCATGAGCCACTGTGCCTGACCCACTCACCTGTTATTATAGTACTTAAGATGCCTTGTCCATTTATTGTACCTGTGCAGTAAATACACCTTGATTTGAGTGTTAGAAAGATTCTCAGCGGTTGGTGGTCATCCTCATCTCCTGGACAGGGGCTTCCTGGCATGGCCGGTATCTGAATTAGTCTCATAACTCATGTTCACTTTTTAAAATCAGAGCTTTCCAGACACTCAGTTTGGTTTTGTTTTTTTTTTTTTTTTCCATTATCTGCAGCTGTGTCCTTTCCATGCTCTCACCTGTACTCTCCTGATCAGTGACTGCTGGCTCCTTTGTTACCATCCTTCTCTTGCCCCACATGTTCTCTTCTCATCCCTTTCAGTTTCCGACCCTTTCCTTCTTCCCCCCAGCTTTCATTTACTCACTCATTGAATGTACTTACTAAGCACCTATGGCATAGTCAGGCTATGTTGAGTAGGAATCCCAAGATCTATGAGATAAGGAAAGAATGGGATATGATTACCAATTTTATTTTTATTTATTTATTTTTTATTTTTTTATTTTTAAGGCAGGGTTTCACCGTGTTGGTCAGGCTGATCTCGAACTCCTGACCTCAGGTGATCCACCCACCTCGGCCTCCCAAAGTGCTAGGATTATAGGCATGAGCCGCCGCTCCCAGCCATGATTACCAATTTTAAAAAGCATCTAAAACAACTTCTTATGTTTTATCAAATTGCCCCAAACGATCCATTAGGTAGTAAAATATTCATGTCATTTTTGCACATCATCTCAAGCAGTACCCACGATGGCAGGGATTCCGGAACCCACCTTTGAGGAATGCTGCCATATTTGTGTGTGGTTGACAAGCTTGAGCCAGACATTCAGGAAGTGGGGTTGTAGTCCTACCTCCACCACTAACTTTCTGTGAGAACTGCAGCCCCTCTCAGGACCTTTTTCTTTACCAATAAAATTCAGAAATTGGGCTCAATCAGTAATTCCTAAGGTATTTTCCAAAGAACACAAATGTTGCGGAACTTCAATAGATATGCAAAAAATGTGGAAGGGATTGTTCTATGGTCAAATGGTCTTGGAAATAACTTGTTTAAACAAAGATAAAATTGTTTCTTTACCCACAACGCTTCTCAGTGTTTTTTGTTTTGTTTTTTTTAAGATGGAGTTTTGCTCTTGTCACCCAGGCTGGAATACAATGGCACAATCTTGACTTACTACAACCTCCACCTCCTGGATTCAAGTGATTCTCCTGCCTCAGCCTCCCCAGTAGCTGGGATTACAGGCACCCGCCACCACACCAGGCTAATTTTTGTATTTTTAGTAGAGATGGGGTTTCACCATGTCAGCCAGGCTGGTCTCGAACTCCTGACCTCAAGTGATCTGCCCGCCTCAGCCTTCCAAAAGTGCTGGAATTACAGGCATGAGCCACTAAGCCCAGTCTTCTCCGTGTTTTTAATAAGCTATGTGCCTTTAGTGTATTGGGAGTCCAAGGTAGGAAGATCAGTAATGTTTCCTACCTTGTGTAAACACAGAACCATTTTTTCCCTCAAGATACCCCAGAAGCAGTGTTACTTAGAAACCAGCTTGGGAAATATAATTGACAGCCACTGTCACCAACCTTTCTTCCAGCTGTGTTGAACACTAGTCACCTGTGCCTTTGCAGCTAAACATTTAAAAAAAAAAATTGTTTTAACAATAAGCTGAAAATGGAAAGGTAGCCAAGTGTCAAGAATTTTTGTCTACTAAATCAATCCACAAATATTTTAACGTGTGCCTATTCTGCGACAAGCACAGTTGATTCAGCTATGTTCTTGGCAAAAGACATTATTCTGCTTTAGGGTAGGTAATATCATCGGAAGCCTAGAGCTGCCCAGGTTTCTGGGCCACAACATACGTTTTCATTTCATGATGTAATTGTCACAAATAGGTTTTTGTTACCTGAGGCCCTGTGCCTATGCGGGCTTATGTTAATTTAGCTATTAGATGACAGAAAAGGAGAGAGCCCTTCTCCTTAACTCACTCTATACAGAACAATGGAATTGCAACTTCCATTTTGCTTAAGAATGATTCTTTCTAAGAGCTTAGAGAGGAAGGGAGATCACAGTTGCCCAGAACAAGACAAGTGCTCAGAGGTGGAAACAGAAACTCTGTGCTGTGAACAGACAGACATTATGTACCTCGTCTTTCCTGTACTCCTCAGGCGTAAGCAGTTGGAAGGGACACAAAGCATGTTTGGTTTTGTTAGGGGAGAGGGTGGGAGATAGTTCCTATTTTTCACCTCTTAAAGGAAGTTAGTAGCCCTGTCCCTACCTAGCTGTGCTGCTTTGGCTGTTTCACTTCCTCTCCCTGGGTGAATTGAATGCTTCGATTTTCTGTGCTGTACAGGAAGGAGGTGCCCACTGCAGGGAGTCCATAAGCAGCCATTCCAGTCTGATACCCTGGGATGCTGAGCAAGCAAGGTACTGAGTTGGTACCATGGGAGTCCTGGAAATGGGGCACAAGAGATAAAAGAGTTTGCTGACTCATGCCTGTAATCCCAGCAGTTTGGGAGGCCAAGGTGGGTGGATCATTCGAGTTCAGGAGATCGAGACCAGCCTGGCCAACATGGTGAAATCCCATCTGTACTAAAAATACAAAAAAATTAGCCAGGCCTGGTGGCACATGCCTGTAGTCCCAACTATTCAGAAGGCTGAGGCAGGAGAATCTTTTGA